CTGAAAGCCGTCGCTACAATAAAGGGAACTCCAGAAAGTTGGAATATGGTTTCAGGGTGGGATACCCTATAATTTACCATAAAGGGTTTAGGATAACCATATTCCAACTTTCTGGCTTTTACTTTAGGATATTTGGGGTTTACTGAACCTCCCCAGCTATAAAGGCCCTAATCGTAGGATAGCGGAAAAATCAGACAGATATGTATGTATACGCATATGTATATGAGCATGCCTTATTATTCTGGGCAGACTAAGTCAGAGCTGCCATTCTCCTTCGGGTGCCTACGTTTACTGCACTCTGCCTCAAAACCCTATTCTAAGTGCTAAGGCCCCTACACCAAGCCCTGAACCCCAATGGAGCCCTAAGACGATCCATTACAGAAGCCCTATTCGAATCGTTACGGGCCCTCCGTGATCCCATTCTGCTGGAGTTGTGAGTTGGGGATCCCAACTTTCGCACTTCGGAAATTTTCGTCAAAGTCTTTCCATGCAAGGGAGTAAGATTCGTGTTTAGAGGCTTAGGGCTCAAGGTTTAGAGAGTAGGGGTTGTTTTTGTTTGGGGTTCTTTGCAGAACAACTTGAAAGCCTGAAAGCCGCATCCAAGGTACAGCGAGATGACAAAGAGGCGCGCCAGCTGCAACATCACTGTCCGGAGTAAGTATGGGTCTTGTATGCTCTGGCCGCAGCAGGTCATATCGGAAGTCTTCTGGTTGAAGGTCCGTGTTCGTGTTCCCCATCATTGTGGTCTCTGCTCCTTGCTAGTGCCTGAATGTGGAATGGAATCTCGTTGGGTATATCCTGTAGGGTATAGCTGACACCGGGACTTCACTGATCTCTGCTCCTATATCCTTCTTGGCCGAGCTGTGAGACAGGCAGTGAGTCCAGAAACTCGATGTCTCAGGCACTCGATTTTCGGTTCACGGTTTGTGGGGTGTTGGACTTAGATGAAGGACTTAGATGAACAGAGGGGTCGATTCCATTGAAGCCTACACACCAAACCCAGAGACTCCAAAACCCCTTAATTAAGGATTATACCTTAAATCATATGATTCCTAATATGATTTAGGGTATATTCCTTAATTAAGAGGTTTTGGAGTCTCTGGGAAGGGCCCAAAGTCTAACAAGGCATTCGCAACAGTCTTTCTGGCCACCGAAGCCCCAGCTCCAGATGCAAAGAGGCTCCAAAACCTGAGGCGGTCAACAGACCTCCAAACGCCCATCAAAAACACACACCTAGACCCTGAACCCTAAACCCTAAACACTAGGTTCTGCAGATCGAAAAGGAGCCCTTAAAAAAAGAAAACACTAGGTTCAGAAGACCTCAACCCAAAAGCACCCTAAACACATGGAGCGGTCAAGCCCTAAACGAAGAGAAGGCCCGGATGCCTTCGATCCCAGCATAAGACCAGAGCTAGAGCCCGGAATCCTACTGTTGATGGACACAATCCTGCATGACCCTAAGGACTCTAAACCATGGGAACTATGCTATACCTGGACCCTAAGGAACCTAGCTTTTTAGGGTTCCCTAATATGATTTCTTTATATAAGTCCTTAAAAAGGTAGGTTACGTGGGGTTAAGGTATTCCTTATAGTGAGTGATGCAGGATCTTGTCCATCAGCAGTACCACTACCCTAAACCCTAAACCCTAAACCCTAAACCCTCAGCCCCTACACCGCCTACACCCAAAGCACGCCACTGCAGGTGCGAGTCTGAAAGCTCCTCGCCCGTCCAACGCGACACCGGCGGCTCCTGTTGCCGGGCATAATCTTACTAAAGGGAACTCCAGAAAGTTGGAATATGGTTTCAGGGTAGCATACCTTATAATTTACCATAAAGGGTTTAGGATAATCATATTCCAACTTTCTGGCTTTTACTTTATTGATATTGGAGGAGCTAAGGAGCCAGGGATGATGATAATCCCTACTAAATCAGGAGCTAAAGAGCCAAGGGACCCCCCAAACCACTGGCTAGTAATTTTCGGGCCTAAGTGGGAGTTTTCGAAAATTTAGGGGTGCCTTGTTCGGGGGTCCTTATAATAAGGGTCCTACTATTTAGGGTACTACATTAGGGTCCCCCATTTTCGGAAGCTCCCAAATAAATTCCAGAAGCTCAGAACCCCGGTTGGACGTGTGAGCACAGGGAAACGCCGCTTCTGGGAGAAACACCCTGCACCCAGAGACACATAATGAATTTCCAGTACTACGGTTGATGACATATGTCCTGCATTACCTTGGGAATTATGGTATATTCCTTATTATGGGTAATGCAGGATTTATACCATCAACAGTATTTTGGGGGTTCCTTATTATTTTGATAGTATAATGGGCCCCAAATCCACCCTTTTATTATTCAGCCCCGTATATTATCTCATCGTGGGTGCAGGACCCCGTAAGATGCTTGGGCGGGTTAGGAGTACGGTTTGGGGTTTAGGGTTTAGGCTTAGGGTTTAGGGTCCTTAGGGTTCAGGAGTATTCGGGGCTTCTTGTTTAATGTCCGGGGGTTGGGATTATGGGTATCAAAGAACAGCCAAGCTCAAATCCGACAGCTCCAGTAGCCCTCAGGCTACTTTTGGGGCTGTGCACGATGGCGAGGTCCCACGGAGTGCACCGTGGCAGCAAGCGATGTGGCTTTGGGGCCACGCCCGTTTTGTTAAGGCACACCCTAAACCCTAAACCCTAAACCCTAAACCCTAAACCCTAAGCCCTAAACCCTAAACCCTGAGCAGGTGACGAGAAAGCCTGCGGTCTGCCTCTGCTATCGCTACTTCAGCCAGTGCTGCTGCTACTGCTGCTTCTACCGCTACTGCTACTACTGCCAACTCTCACTACTGCCGTCACCGGGATAGTTTGTTCTGGAGTGTTTACGGGATTTCTGAGTTCGACCTTGTAAATCTTAAGACACATCAAACGTTCCACAGTATCTTAAGCCTACACCGCAAGCCCTAAATCGTGACTAACCAAGGGCCTCAAATCTCTGCTGCGCTGCCTAAACCCCGAATCCCAAACCCTAACGAAAAGCCGTAAATCCCTAAACCCTCAAACCCTAAAACCCAAAAACCCTTATAGATTTTTACAGGATCCCTTAAAGGAACCCTTAAAGGAAGCCTTTCAAACCCTAAACCGCGAAGCCACCTAACTCTGGTGTGGCCGAGGCATTCACCACAAGTGCATGTGCCTAGCTGACCAGCAGCACTTAGAGTCCGCTTCAGGGATATAGGGTTTAGGGGTTTAGGGATTTAGGGTTGAGGGTTTAGGGTTGAGGGTTTAGGGTTTTTTGGTTTAGGGTTTAGGGGTTTAGGGGTTTAGGGTTTATGGGTTAAGCTTGAATTTGGGGCTCAGGGTTTAGGGTTTTGGTAGAGTGTTCAAGTTCAGGTTCGGGGATTCGAATTCTGGCTCAAAGCTTCCATCATTTTGGGCTGAGGGCGGTGGGTTGATGACAAACGACGGAGATCACAGTTTACAGAGTCCCGGTTGAGGTGAGGGCTTCGGTTTGAATGTCAGGGTTTCAGGGTCTATGCCTGTTGGGTAAGCATGTCATCGTTTGGTACACTTTTGCCCTTGTGCCACTTTCGTGAATGATGCCGACGGCTTTGTGCCTGCCACAGCGGGTCGACAGTGGATGCTTCCTGTACCTGAAGTCACCGCCGCTATGAAGATGTTTGTTCCAACGGGATACCAATGCGGCCACACGTCAAGACTCCTAAAGCGTCATCAGTTGCAACGAAGGCATGAGCGACCCGATGGTGACGACACTCAAAAAGGGCAATCCCTCGAGACTGCCACCATCAGACTGGCTGCATCATGACCACAACAATCTCCACCACCATCCCCGCCGCTTCTGCCACCGATACACCAAGCGCGGAGACATGAATCACACCCGTGACAATGTTCGTAAACGCAGTCGGCAATGTGTAGGGTTTAGTGTGGAGATCTGAGCCTCAAGCTGAGGAAGGCTATCGGGCTGTCCGTGGGTACTGCGAGAAGCACGAGGACACGGCATGCCACATGCATCATGGCAGTAGCGTACGGGGGAATGTCTATAATAATAGCTGTATCTGTATCTGTTTTACATGTACATACATATACATAATATGTAGGTATAAATACATACATACATACATACATACATGCATACATACATACATACATACATACACACATACACACACACACACACAGATATACAGATATGGATCCAGGCATGTAGATTGTAGATACTTTGCCGTATACAAATTCTAACCTAGTTTCGTTGGGTCAATCGCCGCAGCATGGAGCTCACTGAGCTTCGGCCACGGCAGTTCCGTCTGGACTTAGCTTAGGTTGCCATAATAACATATGATGTTACTCTAGATCCATATATGGTTACTTAGATTAAGTCCCTTAAGAACCGAGAAACCCAAACCCCGAACCGCATGTCTTTCTCCCGTTGCGCCTGGGTCGCTCTCCTCAGGAGCCACAGCCGATGACAACGACCACAGCTCCAGGCCCCCCACGGGAACATAGGAGATGTTAGGGATTAATATGGTAGGCTAAATAATTACCAATAGCATTCCTTAAGGGTTCCTTCGTATAACTGTGCTATCAAGGAGCCCAAAACCCTATTCTAATTATTAAGGCCCTTACATCAGGGTTTAGGGCTTGAGTTTCAGAGGGATTAGGATATGGGGTTTAGGGCTTGGGAGTTTTTTTTTTTTTTTTTCCGGTGTGTGCTTTAGTGTCGGGTCTTCTGGGTTTCCGGGGTCTTGGCGGTTGGCTTCAGGGAGGTTGGAGCAGCAGGGCTCACTACTGTTACTATGATGATTACCACTGTGATTTATTAGTATCATTATCTGAAGCCCTGAAGCCCGAAAGCGCAAGCTCTCAACCTTAAAGGCCGAAGCGGCGTTTGAATTTTTGTGGCGAGATCGAAGTGTGGAGTTTTCCCGGGGCTCGTTTGCGGCTCCCGCTGTCATTATTACGATTATTTTGTCATTCTCATATTTGCCATTGTGATTCGCTTCATTGTTAGTAGTGTTGAGAGTACGAATGCGATGATTATCTTACTTCAGAAGCAACGTGTCTAGGCTTGCAAGTCAGGCACACTCACCAACTCCTGGCTTTCGGGGTTTTCTTCACAATGCTCTTTGTGGGTTTCGGGGTTTATGTTTTAGGGCTCTTAGCCTGTCTTGTTCCCATCAGAAACCAATGCACAAGAGGCGTTTTTCACATGAGGTGGGTGCCGGCAGGGGGCGCAATTTCTGAACAGCTTGTTGAAGAGTCTTCATCCCCTGTATACTACTATATACAGGTTTATGTATTACTATACAATTGTCCTTCTACTAAATTATACTACACTATACCATAATACTGCTGATTACCGATGATTTCGGAGGTCTTCGTGCCAACCGAAAAGCAAGCCCGGTCCGTCAATCCTGAACCCTCAACCCCGCATTTTCCAACCGAAGCCCTGAATCAAGGGTTCTACTACAGAGGCCGAATCTAAATTATTGAGGTCCTTTAAAGGGTTCCTATACAGGCTACAAGGGCTACTATACTATAAGGGCTATAATAAGGGATTTAGTGCAGAGGCTTAGATAGTTAGAATAGGCTTTTGGGGCCCATTAATAGTATGATTATAATAAGGAACACCCATAATAGTAGAGCTGAACTAGTATTGGTAATGATCTAGGCCCCTACAGTATCGGCTCATGAGCCCATCTGCGTTTTTGGATGCCCTGCGCCTCCCCCGAAATCCCTGCTGCGAACAGGAGAGGGTCTGGCTGTGGACCCTTGTCTGAAAAGGCAGTTTTTTTTAGGGCATTTTTGGTGGTTTCCGAAAATTGTGGGGTGCCTTATTTTGGGGTATTTATAATAAGGATCCTACTATGTAGGGTACCCTCTTAGGGTCCCCCATTACTATTTTCGGAAACTCCCCTTTACGGGGTTTTTGTTTGGGCTTTCAAGCCTGCCTCCACCTACGGGTCGTCTTGTGCAAGGAGGGTTACGGTTACCCTAAACCCTAAACCTAAACCCTAACCCCTATACCGAAATCCTAAACCTAAGCCCGACTGGTAGATTCAGCTTTGCGGTGTCCGAGCTTCACATTGATTCCGGGCTCCTGTCCTTTCGCTGAATCTGACTGCTCGGACCCTCGAACCCAAAGCTCCACTCGCGCACTTTCGTGATGGTCTGTTTGGGGTTTAGGGGTTAGGGTTTAGGGTTTAGGGTGCCCCCCGGTTCAGTGTGAGTAGCAATGGAAGTCGAAGAGGTCCGTATCATCACCGTTTCGCCCTAGCAACTTAAACCTCAAACATTGGAAGACTCTTGAGGAGGCACCGTGTGGAGGGTGAGTGCATGGCATTTTTCTGAGCTCAGGCGACAGCTGACCCACCGGCCATGCAGATGCTTGGCGGGTTGAGGGTTTAAGGTTTAGGGTTTGGGGTTCAGGGTTTTGGGTCTGAAACCGGCAGGGGTTCTGGTTTTGGGGCTTTTGTGTAGTGTTTTCGATGAAGTTAACTTGAGGGCACAGGTGCACCTGGCTAGATAGATGCGGTCCGGCCAGCGCGGGAGCATGAAGGAGAGTTGAGCGGTCGGAAAGTGGGTGGGCTGATAAGATGGGTGTTTCCGAAAATAAGGGGCCGCAATTTAGTACCCTAATTAGTAAAACCCTTACAATACGGACCCCAAAATAAGGTACCCCTAATTTTCGGAAACTCACAAATCTGGCCTTCTACTTCAGGGCAGGTCTAGGGCTTCTCGTTCCTGGCGTGGGGCTCCAGTGGCTCCAGGTCTAGGGTTTAGGGTTTAGGGTTTAGGGTCTAGGGTCTAGGGTTTAGGGTTTAGGGTTTAGGGTTTAGTAGCAGTGTGAGATTCCGTGCACCCTGGATGTACTTGGTTTTGGATCATGCGGTCCTTTGGAGCATCGTGTAAGGATCAGTCCTGTGCAGATATGGCTATGACTACGAGAGGATCATGGGTTCCATTTGGCTCGAAAGCTTTTGGGAAGATTTTCCAGTTGGGCATGGTTTAGGGTTTGGGATCCAGTGTGTTGGATTAGTGATCCTAGACCCGAAACATCCCGAAACCCTTAGCCCTCGGAAGTGATCGCAGCTCTCGCTGAAAAGAGCCCTGCTGCATCCCAGGCTCCCATCAAGTAAGCCCTCATTCCTAGGACCCTATTCCTCAAACTATACATCCCTAAGCCCGAAACCCTAAACCCAGGCCTTAATCCCTAAGCCCTGCATGAAAGCCCGGAAGCTGCCCCAAAGTAATGCCCTGCCCAGGACGTCATGTGCCTGGGGTGACCAACAGCCACCTGGGCGAAATCGACGCTCTTTTCCTTTTTGGGTTTAAAATAGGGGTTTGCTTTGCGGTCAGGGTTGTTTTTGCTCTTTATGGGGTCCGGGTTTACTTTGGGAGAGGGCTGACTACTCTTCCCTTTTTAGGTCAGCCTTTGATCTTTTGATTGTTGTTGAATGTTTTTGAAGAAAGGATATATTTTTCTGCTCGGGGGCCAGAGTTGATGTTTCATTGGGGGGGCTCAGGATTTGTTCTTCATCTTGTGGGCGTCAGGCTGCATTATCCGGATGTTGAGGCGTGAGGCGCATGGCTGATGTCCGCCCTCAAACTTGATTTGAAGCCCGTAGCCGTAAACCCTCAACTCAGCACTCTTTCAGCCCCGCCCCTCAGATGCAGTCAAGATGATGGTCTGGGCCGTAGTGGAATTTGGGAGTTTCCGGAAATAGGGGACCCTAATATGGTACCCCAAATAGTAGGATCCTTATTTTTAGGACACCTAAATAAGGTACCGCTAATTTCGGAAACTCCCATTTTCGGCGTTCTCGAGTTAGTCGGGCCCAGTTATCTGGAAAACCAGGTTCGGGGTTTGCAGCTGGGGCTTGCCCTCTTGAGTCTCGAGACTCTTGATTTTGTGCGTACTTCGCGGAGTCTCCTTGTCGTAATATGCGTGGTTGTCAAGATTAGGGTCCCTTTCTGGGTCCCTAATGTAATACGGCACCTAATATTTAGGGTACCCACAAAGGGACCGCAATTTTGACAACTACCCATATAGTAGTACCTTCAGTGCAGCTCTTGCAGAGCCCCTGGCAGATTCCAAAAGCCCCAACTTGAAACCATAAGCCCGAAACCGCTTCGTTTGATGAAAACAGAGCTCAACAAGGAAATGCCCTAAGCCTTGGATACTGCCCCCTCTCAGCAACAGTTGGATAATATTCACAATATAGATATATTAGGACCTTAATAGTAGCCCTATTATTGACTGTTACTGTATGGGGGCAGTATCCAACCTAAGGCCTTCAGCCCTGAACAGTAAATCCTCGAGTGCAATCTCGACTCGGAGGTCTCGAATCGTTTCAGGGATCGTGTGGTTATGAGGGTTTCAGGGAGTTTAGGGTTGAACCCTAGGCCCTTAACCCTGACCCTAACCTTCGGGGCAGACGGAAAAGAGGGCTCAAAAAAAAACCCTAAACCCTAAACCTCAGTAGTTGAGGGGTCTTGGTTCGAGGGTTTGACGGCACCCGGATCCACAAGAACAGCAGTATCCCGGTATTCTGTACATTCTCAACACACCAAAGACCCCACCTTTTTCAGGTGTGGTGGAGCCGGCTATACCGGCGCAACGTGCTGCGAGGCAGGGTCAACCGCGCAACCCCGGACACTAAACCCTCAAACCCAAGTTCTAAAACCGAAGTCTTGAATCTTAAAACACCGTAACCCTGAAGCCTACCATGACTAAGTCTTCAAACCCAAGCTCTGAAACCAAAGCCCCGAAACCCTAAATCTTAACCCCTAAACCTCAAACCCCAAACCCTAAACCTTAAACCCTAAACCCTCTACCATGACTAGGTCTTCAAACCCAAGCTCTGAAACCGAGAGCCCGAAACCCTAAACCTTAAACCCTAAACCACAAACCCCATACCCTAAACCCTGCCATGACTAAACCCCGTCAGGCCGGCTACTACTGCGACGGTGCTGCTTGCTCAAAGGCCGGCCAGCACCACAAAAGATCCTCCTTGGGTAGCCTTCAGGGATTAGGGGTTTAGGATTAGGTGTTTCGGGGTTGAGGGGTTAAAGGGTTAAGGGTTCAGGGTTTGGGAATCGCAACTCTCAGTTCCCTTGTAGGTGTACCTCAATGTGCCCAGCCCTACGCTAATTACCAGTGCTACTATATTGCACTTCTGCCAGGTATATGCTGCTCTGCTATTCATGCCAGGGCTATGGGTTCCTCTTAATGTCGTTCGCGAATCGTGCGATAATCCAACTACAGCATCATCACAATCGCCATCCTCGTCTTCCTCCTCCTCCTCCCCCTCCTCCTCCGCCACCGCCGCCGCCGCCCCCGCCCCCGCCCCCGCCCCCGCCCCCGCCCCCGCCCCCGCCCCCAGCGCCGCCACCGCCCGCCACCGCCACCGCCACCCGCCACCGCCACCGCCACCGCCACCGCCACCGCCACCGCCACCGCCACCGCCACCGCCACCGCCACCACCACCGCCACCACCGCCGCCAGCAGCAGCAGCAGCCGCCGCGGCAGCAGCAGCATCATCACCCGTATCATCATCCTTATCATCATCCTGGACCTCCTCCTTCTCATTCTCCTCATCATCATTACCAGCCTCACCATCATCACCATCATCACCATCATCGCCATCATCGCCATCTTCACCATCAGCACCATCAGCGCTATCACTGCCATCATCACTATTAACATGACAACTCTCTGCATATTGACCATCGCCACGGTCAATATTACCACCATCGTTGTCATCACCGCACTATCATCGTAGTCGTAGTTAGTTGGAGTCGTACTCGTCGTCGCTGTCGCTGTCGTCGTCATCCTCGACTTGAGTTGGTCGATTTTGTCGCACCTCGTTGTTCGTCGTCTGCACTGCCATGACCATCACCAGGATCATTGCGTTCACCATCACTGCCATCCTGGTCATGATGCTGCTGTCGGTGATGATGATGAAGGCGGCGATGATGATCGCGATGACGATGTTGATGACGATGATGATGTCGGTGATGATGCGATGAAGATGATGCTGCTGGTTGTTGTTGTTGATGATGATGCTGAAGACGGCGATGATGATGATGACGGTGATGATGATGCTGCTGATGATGATGTTGTTGATGTTGGTGATGGTGAGGATGATGGGGCTGAGGATGACGATTATGATAATGATGGCAACGGCGGTGATCATCGTCATGGCGATAGGAACGGCGACGAGAAGGATGATAGTGTCCTGAAGATCACGACCACCATCTTCCGACCATAAAACACCGTCAATGCCATCCTGCTCGTTCTCATGCTCTTTCTTCCTCATCCTTATCTTTTCCACCCATGAGAAGTCGCCCTGTCGGGTTTGTGATCCGGAGCCAGATCTTCGCTCAGAATTGAAGTCGTGGAGCGTAATAGTTCAGCTTTGCAAAAAAATCCGAACTTGAGATTCGCAAAACTTACCCTAAAACCCTAAACCCTGAACCTTAAACCCTAAACCCTGAACCCTAAACCCTAAACCCTTAAGGTCGGGTATGGATGCCCAGGTGACTGAAGCCGTGGAAGTAAAACAGTATGGCTTTAGCGATGCTCCGTGGTCGAACTTTGCTCGGGTTCCGAAGTTTGAAATCAAAGCTGTGAGGGTTTGGGGTTTACGGCGTTGGGGGTTTGCGGTATAGGAGTTTCATTGTGAGGACTTCGGACTTCTTCGTGGTTCGTGGTTTGTCAGGCAGTTGCAATCGAACGAAGGGCCTGTGAGCCCGTAGCAAGGAGTCGAATCCGTGCACATCCCAAAGCGCATTTCCAAGATACGATGCGACGATCAAAGGTTGGGGTCCTAAAGCAGCAAACTGCTTAATCCCTACCCCAGAAGACCTACATATGTGGGATCGTCCAGAAAGAGTGCTGGCGATTGAACAGGTGGACATCTGTGCTAAGCCCAAAAGATAACGGTTAGGAATCAGGTTTATGTAGTCCACCCTGGCTCATGTCGTTCTTGAAATCTTTTCGCCGTTGCTGATTATCCCGACTTGCTCCACTTGAAATCTGAAACTGACCACTACACCCTCAATCGTGATTGATAGCGCTCCTAAATCAGTCCGAACTCACTGTCTACTCCTAGGCGCTCACAGAACCCCAAGACTTGTCAGACCTTAACCCTAAACCCTAAGCCCTAAACCCCAAAGCCTAAACCCTAAACCCCAAACCCTAAACCTAGCTTTCTGCCACCCTGCCTGCCGATCTAAGAAGCTGCGCAAGAAAAGCTCAGGCCCGGTTCTACAAGTAGCTGCTTTCAGGGCCTTGAGAATTTTTAGGGTTTAGGGTTTAGGGTTTCGATAGAACAGAATGAGGACCTGGCTGGTGATGGCTGAGTTGGGACTCATGTCTTTTAACCACCTTCAGGCTAGGACGGGGGACTGCGCTTCTTCGAGGAGGGCCTATTTTTGTCGCCATTATTTTTCTGCTTCTGCTGCCATTATTATTATTTTTTTTTTTTTTTGGCCCTGGGCCCTGTTACTCTGTTACTCTCATACTCTTATACTCTTATACTCTATTAGTCTATTACTCTATGACTCTATTACCCTATGACTCTATTACTCTCTTTCTCTCAAAGCTCTATTACTCTAGTACTCTATTAGTCTATTACTCTGTTATTCTATTACTCTATTACTCTATTATTATATTACCTTATTACTCTATTACTCAAATACTCTACTACTCTATTACTCTATGACTCTATTACTCTTATACTCTTCCTCTATTGCTCTATTACTCGATCACTTTATTACTCTATTACTCTAATACTCGGTTACTCTACTACTCCATAAACTCTATTTATTACTCTATTACTCTATCTACTTTATTTCCTCTATGACTCTATTACTCTGCTACTACCCCTACTCCTACTACTACTGCGCCAGGTGATTCCTGCTCCAATCAGCGCATTGCGACTTCACCGTCCGCAGCGAGTGTGATGATGATGATACTACTACAACTACTACTACTACTACTACTACTACTACTACTACTACTACTACTACTACTACTCGTACTACTAATACTGCTATTGCTACTGTTACTAGTACTGCTAATGTTTTTTTTTTTTTGCCCTCGGCCCTGTTACCTTATTACTCTAATACTCTATTGCTCTATTACTCTATTAGTCCATTACTCTATTAACTCTATTTCTCTTATACTCTTACTCTATTTCTCTATTACTCTCTTACTCTATTACTCTATTACTCTTTACCCTAGTACTCTAGTACTCTAGTACTCTAGTACTCTATTACTCTATTACTCTTTTACTCTATTACTCTATTACTCTATTACTCTACTGCTCTATTACTCTATGACTCTATGACTCTATTACCCTATGACTCTATTACTCTCTTATTCTATGGGCCCTGTTACTCTGTTACTCTCATACTCTTGTATTCTATTTCTCTATGACTCTATTACTCTATTACCCTATGACTTTATTACCTCTTACTCTAAAAGCTCTATTACTCTATTACTCTAGTACTCTATTAGTCTATTACTCTGTTATTCTTTTACTCTTTTAGTCTATTATTCTATTACTCTATTACTCTATTATTCTATTATTCTATTACCCTATTACTCTATTATTTTATTACTCTAGTACTCTATTAGTCTATTACTCTGTTACTCTAATACTCTATTATTATTTCATTACTTCATTACTCGATTACTCTATTACTCTATTACTCTATTACTCGATTACTCTATTACTCTACTACTCCATTAACTCTATTTATTACTCTATTACTCTATTTGCTTTATTTCCTCTATGACTCTATTACTCTGCTACTACCCCTACTCCTACTACTACTACCACTACTACTACTACTCGTACTACTAATACTGCTATTGTGTTGTTACTGGTACTGCTAATGCTTTTTGATTGCCCTCGGCTCTGTTACTCTAATACTCTATTACTCGATTACTCTATTAGTCTATTAGTCTATTACTCTATTACTCTGTTACTCTTATTCTATTACTCTATTACTCTATTACTCTTTACTCTATTACTCTATTACTCTTTTACTCTAGTATTCTAGTACCCTAGTACTCTATTACTCTATTACTCTACTACTCTATTACTCTATTAGATAGGAATACTCTAATAGAGAAATTGAGTAATAGAGTAATAGAGTAGTAGAGTAATAGAGTAATAGAGTTATAGAGTAATAGAGTAATAGAGTAATAGGAGTAATAGAGTCATAGAGTCATAGAGTCATAGAGGAAATAAAGTAGATAGAGTAACAGAGTAATAAATAGAGTTAATGGAGTAGTAGAGTAATAGAGTATTAGAGTAATAGAGTAATAGAGTAATAGAGTACTAGAGTACTAGAGTAATAGAGTAATAGAGTAATAGAGTAATAAAGTGATCGAGTAATAGAGCAATAGAGGAAGAGTATAAGAGTAATAGAGTCATAGAGTAATAGAGTAGTAGAGTATTTGAGTAATAGAGTAATAAGGTAATATAATAATAGAGTAATAGAGTAATAGAGTAATAGAATAACAGAGTAATAGGCTAATAGAGTACTAGAGTAATAGAGCTTTGAGAGTAAAAGAGTAATAGAGTCATAGGGTAATAGAGTCATAGAGTAATAGAGTATAAGAGTATAAGAGTATGAGAGTAACAGAGTAACAGGGCCCAGGGCCAACAAAAAAAAAAAAAAAAGAAAAATAATGGCAGCAGAAGCAGAAAAATAATGTGGCCAGATATTCTCCGCCCCTTCTTCGACAAGGGGATGGGACTTCGACAGGGATGATGGTCGCGATGGTTTCTTGGTGGACACATAAGCTGACATCGAAGCCGGTCGGAGTGTGCGTAAGAAGTCTTGCAGGCACAGGCATGTCCGACGCAGTATGTGAGACCTGGAGCGGGGAACGTGCATTCGAATATGGGAGTTTCGGAAAATAGGGGACCTTAATAATATAGTACCCTATATAGTAGGATCTTTTTTACAAGGACCCCAGCATAAGGTACCCCCTAATTTTCGGAAACTCCCATATCGACTTGCCTTCAGCCATGTGTAGGCAAAGGAAGAAGAGTTTTGCACGAAGGGTTGGGTTTGCACAAGGCTTGCTGTGAGCAGCTGCCCGGGAAATTGGAATTCGTTCCCTGACCAGGTGGGCTTTACTGAAGATTCTAGACGAGAGCCTATCGAAGATACAGCAGAAAATCGAAGACCCTAAGCTTTCGGCGCGACCCGAGTTGCTACATCGTTGATGTTTGTGTGCTACAGGCAAGCTCTTCACCTTCTATGTCTACCGCGCCCAGGGCGCGACGACCTATCCTCCAGAGCCACTGTGGCAGCACTCAAAGACAAGTTGACAAGGTTCAGTGCCTGCGAGTTGTATTCAGGATTCGCGACTTTGTTGCCTGATTGGGGGACGGCAAGAGTTCCAAAGTTGCTTGGGCTTTGGGTCCTTCGGTTCCTTGACCCGAATTCACTCCAGAGCCAGGACCCTACATTAAGGTAAATTATAGGGGATCCTACCATTAATCCATATTCCAACTTTCTGGAGTTCCCTTTAAGGTAAATTATAGGGGATCCTACCATTAATCCCTTTTCCAACTTTCTGGAGTTCCCTTTAATGTAAATTATAGGGGATCCTACCATTAATCCATATTCCAACTTTCTGGAGTTCCCCTTAAGGTAAATTATGGGGGATCCTACCATTAATCCATATTCCAACTTTCTAGAGTTCCCTTCAAAGGAACCTTTAAAGGAATCCTTAAAGGAACCCTTAAAGGAACCCTTAAAGGAGTTCCCTTCAAAGCCCCAGAAAAGCTCCAAGGCCCCCGAAGCTCCGAGCAGCCCTTGGCCCAAAAACATCCCGAAGCTCCCAATATCTCAAGGGGGAAAAGGAGGGACCCTTAATGGGGACCCTTTAAAGGGATCTATAGGGATTCTAGGTTTAGGGGTTTGGGGGTTTAGGGGGTTTAGAGGGTTTAGGGGAAAAGGAGGGACCCTTACTGGGGACACCTACACTATAATGGGCTATAAAATGGGTATATACTAGCTATATTAAGGGTATATACCTAGGGGGCATGACCCTAAGGACTCTAAACTATGGGAACTATGGTATATTCCTTATAAAGGGTAGTGCAGGATTTTGTCCATCAGCAGGTATGAAGCAGGAATAAGCAGGAGCTATCTAGGGATTCAATGGCGGTCGAGTAGGGGCAGCAGCAGGGTCTGAAAAGGTCGAGTAGGGTCCTCTCACAGGGCTCATGGGCAGCAGTGGTATTGTCCACGAAAAGCAGGAAGTGTGTATAGTTCGTAGAACGTGACAATAATGTGGTTCGAATTTCTGTCAGCGCCCGTATGGGAGTCCTTGATGGGGCTTCTCTCTGCATGTCCTCAACATACATTCAGCAGTTCCGGATACACTGTTGATCATTTCTGGTCCTCGGATCATGACCCAAGTTTCCCAGATTAGTAGGTACCCTAAACAGACCTAAAGGGAGCCATGTATCTCAAGGCTGTTGTGCAAGCCTCGGCTAGCCATCTTCAGACATTACCAGACATTGAGACGCATCGCACACCTTTAACGCAAGCACCTCTCCGATGCAACATCCGTCGTCCAACTCCTCTGTACATGTTCCCATAATGAACCGCAAGCCGTCCCAAGCCTATTTACCAGGAATGTCAATGTTGCCGATCTCGCCGGGGTGATGTGGTGATCCCGACACGCTTTGGGCGGGGGGTCGGGTTCGGGCTTTCTGGAACGATCCCAGCCTAGGGTCTTGGGCGTAGAGTTCTAAATCTGATTTCCTAAACCTGCACCGCTTCTCCCACCAACAGTACCGGCCCGAACCGACTTATGCCAGAAACGCGTTAGAGCCTCAAGGCAGAGCCATCGGTTGTCGTTACTCTTGTTGGTTGTTGCCATCGGCTTCGTCACTCCGCCGCCGCGGCTGTCGTCGTGAGGTTTTGGTGGCGGCCTGTGGCCATGTCAATGTCAACACACACACACATACAGATTACTTAAAGAATGTACTATTCAATACATAATGAGATGTATAACGGGTTTGGGGGTCGCACCCATGGAGTTTTGAGGTGTTGTCCGGAGGCTGAAGACTTCTCCATACCCTCACCCTCGATCTAAGGCCCGAAATCGCAAGGCCTAACACCAAAACCATGGTGCCTTAAGCCCCATGCTACACTCTAAAGCTTGAATCCTAAGCCCTCAACCCACAAGCTCAAGTCCTCAGACCGAAACCCTTGACCCGAGATCCTCAGACCGAAACCCTAAAGGGAACTCCAGAAAGTTGGAATATGGTTTCATGGTAGGATACCCTATAATTTACCATAGAAGGGTTAGGATAATCATATTCCAACTTTCTGGCTTCTACCTTAAACCCTTCAGCAGGTATCTACATAACGAGATCGTCGGCCGTGCGGACTGGGGCTACAAAAGGAAGCTTCTCAGCTGCTGGAGTACGGTCGAGGGTGCAGGGTGTAGGATTCTGGGGTGAGGGTTCAGGATTTGGGGTTCGATGATTAAAGAAGGTGTAGGGTGGCTTACAGGTGAACATATTTTCTTGGAGCTCTTGAGCGCTAAACCCCACATTCAAATCACCTTCTCGAAGTACACCCTGAACCCTACAGTAGAAGCCAGAAAGTTGGAATATCATTATCGTCACCCCTTTAAGGTAAATTATAGGGGATCCTACCCTAAATCCATATTCCAACTTTCTGGAGTTCCCTTTAAGGTAAATTATAGGGGATCCTACCATTAATCCATATTCCAACTTTCTGGAGTTCCCTTTACGCACTGAACCCCAACCCTAAACCCTAAACCCTAAACCCTAAACCCTAAACCCTAAAACCCTAAACCCAAGGGCTGATCCTGAACACCGACATCCTTCAAGTCCTAGCATGGCAAATGCAGGGCTAGAGTGGCAAATGTACAGTCGGGCTATAGGGGCTATAGGGGGTTTTGGGGGTTTAGGGGTTTAGGGGTTTAGGGGGTTTAGGGGTTTAGGGGTTTAGGGGTTTAGGGGTTTAGGGTTGTTGAGCGCATAGCCGCCTTCGCCGCCTTTCGGAGTTGCTGGTCACTTATAGGGTTCAGGGTTTAGGTAGTCCCCGTCTGTTCGCCGGTGCGCCGAGGTTCAACATCACCCGGATCATTCGCCTTGGCCTGAGCCGGGTCAGGTTTCGAGAATGTATGGTTTACTTTACCACTGAATAACCTACCTTTTTAGGGTTCCTTATTATGAGTTCCTTATATAATGTCCTTAAAGAATAACCCACCTTTTAGGGTTCCTTGTTATGAGCTCCTTTCATAATGTCCTTAAAAAGGTGATGAGTTCCTGATAAAAGTCTTGAAAAAGGTTATGAGTTCCTTATATAATGTCCTTAAAACGGTAGGTTCTTCCGGCTTAAGGTAGGGTTTGGGGCTCGGGCTGACAGGCGGAGGTTTCCTCCGAGCTTGGGCGCAGGGGGTTTAGTTTGGGATTCGGCCCTTTGGCCCCGAGTTTCCCAGGGTTTGGGGCTTTAGGGCGTTAGGGGTTTGGGGTTTAGGGTTTGGGGTTTAGGGTTTAGGGTTTAGGGTAGGGTTTAGGGTTTTGGGGTTTAGGGGTTGAGGGTTTGGGGTTTGGGGTTTAGGGTAGGGTTTAGGGGTTTAGGGTTTAGGGTTTGGGGTTTAGGGTTTAGGGTTTAGGGTAGGGTTTAGGGTTTAGGGGTTTAGGGGTTGAGGGTTTGGGGTGTAGGGTTTATTAGGGCTTAGGGTTTAGGGTTTAGGGCTTAGGGTAGTCTTAGAGACCCCACGACTCCTTCCTTACCTTTTAGTAGGGAATGGAAGAATGGTAGTAAAAGTAGTTATAATGGTACCCCATTCCTCCATTCCCTACTAACCCAAGGTAAGCTTCTTCAAAGAACACGCCTGACTTGCACTTTGCTATTTTTCAAAGCTTACGCCCGTAGACAACTCGATGACTGATCATCAGCTGCAGCCCAACAGGAGCAACGCGCCTGGAATTCGGTCCCACGCCCCCAACGCCAAAATATACTGTCCTATACTTCGTTGTACTATAGTCTATATAGTATACTACTGATAGTTACACGCCAAACGCCGTTTTCATGATCCGGGCCTCCGAATTACTTGAAGTCGTGACTGCAAAAACCCAACACCATCTTCGAGGCTACAAGATGCAGACGAAGGCCACCCAGCCGCTGGCTTAGTGCGCTTTCCCACAGGTCATTCATTCGGGAAATGTGCCCCAATACTTCCCTAAAGCCCTGAACCCTGAACGTATCCCCAAAGCCTGACCCTATACCTGAAACCCTGCAGATTTTCTAGCTGTGCCTCATCTTTGGCCCAACCTGAAGCCTTAAACGCTCAAACCCAAAAGAACCCTAAAACCCGAAAGCCCTTCACAGCTATAAAGTAAAAGCCAGAAAGTTGGAATATGGTTATCCTAAACCCTTTATGGTAAATTATAGGGTATCCCACCCTGAAACCATATTCCAACTTTCTGGAGTTCCCTTTAAAGCTCTAAAGCGCCCAAAGCCAAAAGCCCTCCTAAAGCTCTAGAGCCATAAACGAAGCCTTTCAACCGATCCCCGATGCAGAGCTGAGGCCTTTGATTGATCGTGGGATGAACTTCGGCGTCCGATTCGCCTTTGACTCCGGCACTTCGCCCAGTTTTTGGAGGGATTCAACGCGTTCTGTAGCTGTTGAGAAGGGTTTTATACGGTTTTAGAGGGGCTTGCAGGGGGGTTTCATGTGGATTTTTCGAGAGATGATCGAAGCTTATAAGATGGGGTCTGGAGGCCCGATATCCGTCAGTTATAAAGATCCGTTGTTTGGGATCATCTTCCTTAGGCTGTAACGAAGAGCCACCTCTGATGGATCATATGTCTCTTAGCTGAGAGCCCCTTACTAAAAGGATCACCACTATCCTTTTAGGTTGGAACGGGGAGGGAGGCGACAGGGGGTAGTTCGTGGAGGATGTCGAGATTTAGGCTTGGAGTTTGGGTTACTACAGTTTGTGGCTCTACAGTGCCGTGGAGAGGGGATGTCAGAGGCGCACAGTGTATTGGCGATTTAAGGCTACCGGGGATTTGACCTTCAGGTTCCATCTAGCGCCTGGAAGAAACATTCCCAAAGCCTCAACTCTATGAGCTCTAAACCCAAACCCTTAGCCCCTAAACCCTAACACCGAAACTTAAACCCTGAACCCTAAACCCTAAACCCTTAATCCCTAAACCCTTAACCCCTAAACCCTAAGCCCAGAAAGCCCCAAACTGAAACTTTGAAGCCGAATTCAGCAAACGTCGTGAAGGTTATGGCTTGTCACTTGGGGGCTTTGGGCGTGTCGGTTCTGGGGTTTAGGGTTAGAGTTCCAGGGTTTTGTTAGGTTTTAGAGTTTTAGGGGTTTAGGGGTGCCTAGGGTTCAGGAATTAGTATTGTCGTTGTTCCTGTGTGATAAGTTTCGGCATCGCCAAGTGGCCTCCTTGAAAGGCTTAAGAGCGCATCTTTAGCGTTCAGGGGCTTGTCTCTAAGCCGGGTCATCCTTACCTGCCGATTATGTGGTGCAGCCCACGACGAGGTTGAAGCCATGAACCCGGTAAGCCATTCTCAAGAATGGGTTCCATCATTCCGAAGGGTCCCAAATCCCAAACCTGTCGGCTCTAAACCCTACTAAAGCTGTGATTCTTCTTCGCAAAACCCTACAGCCTTTGGTCTCGTTTTGGAGTCTGGCCAGGTCAGTGCACGGGCCCCTTCAGCTGTGATGAGGCGTGGCAGAACTATGGCAGCTCTGCTGCACTGAGGGGGGAAGGATGCCGGGGGCTGACTCTCTGGCCTGAAGTCCTAGATCCTAAACCCTAAACCCTAAACCCTAAATCCTAAATCCTAAATCCTAAACCCTAAATCCTAAATCCTAAATCCTAAACCCTAAATCCTAAACCCTAAATCCTAAACCCTAAACCCTAGATCCTAAACCCTAAACCCTAAAAACTCGGTTGGGGATGTCGGGGGGGGGGGGGGGGGGGTCTTTCGGGGTTCCAGTTCCCAGCTTGCTCCGTTTCGAAGCTCCGGGCTTCGCAATCGTCCCACCCTAAGCCCAAAGGCTCTGGCGCAGTAGATTACCTGAAGTCGGAGGCCCTAAACTCTAAACCCGAAGTTCTCAAAGCCTTAAAAGCTCAAGAGGCAGGGAGAAAAGAGGGTTCAAAAACAAAAAGAAGTCGCATCTTCAGGCTACTTCGTGGGCTGCAACAAGCTGCAGCAGGGCTTCCCTTTCCCGGACTTCAAGGTGGCCTACGATGGGACCTGGTGCCGCGGCCGCGAAGCGAAAAGCTGAAGTCGGAGACTGGGGGCTTCACCCCGCCATCACAGAACTCCTTAGGGGTATTTAGAAATATTTTTTAAAATTTTGGTCAGTATAATTCCTAAGAAACAGCTAAAATTATAATTTTTGCCAGGGTTCTAAGTTCAGTATAGACTCGTCGTAAGCCCAGCATCATCGTCACCACCAGCATCGTGATTATCATCAGTATTACCATGAGTATCATCAACAATCTCGCCATGGTCAGCACCATGATCATCATGAAGATGCGTTGCCGTCATCAACGCACTTCTCCTCCGCCCCTGCTGATCCTCTTCATCATCATTCGCAGATCATTAGCATCGCGATCGTGGTCAGCATTGAGTTCCAGTCCGACGCTACGGATCAGCGATGAAAGCGATGATGACTACAGCACGATAGTACTCACTCTAATGCCTCTGGCAGGCGAGAAGGGCGACGGCGACGATGGTGGTTTTGGCGACCAGTATATTGCGATGATGATGATGATGACGGTGATGATGATGTCGGAATCAAGTGAAATCATGCTTGTGGTGTGTGTTGGTGGGTTGAAGTGGTGGTGGTGCTGCTGCTTGGTGACAATGCTCCCTCGCGAAATGTGCAAGACGCACAAGTTCGGGGCCACACTCAAGCCTTTCGTCCCAAAGACTGCGAACCAGAGTCATCCTGACGTAGATCGTGTTTAAAGTTTAAAGAACTCCACTTGCAGACGATTACGGTTCGCCTTTGGAGACGGCAAGCAGCCTCAAAGGTACAGCCTTCCTGGCAAGTGCCCGCAGATGCAATATTTTGCCGCTTGCCTGGCTTTTAGCTTTGAGATGGCTCGAGGTGGTGGCTTCGGAGTATTTCGTCAACTGCGGAGTGGGGCTTCGGAAATTGGGGTCGGCTCGTGGAACGGCCAGAACTTCAAGCCGGTGCATTCTGTTTGCGCTGTCGTCACGTCTCGGGCGGAATGTTGTGGAAAATGAACTGCCAGAAGATGTGAAAAGCAAGTTCCCGAATTTCATACCACGTACGTTGTGCATGGCATCCCGCAATGTACCGGGCTTGAGAAGACGACCGTGCAACCCACCAATTTCCCCTCTTCTTCCGACTCTGTTTCAAGAAACCGGGCTGCAAAAACCCTTCGGTAGCTGTCGGGTGCTAAAAACCAAACAGGTTCCATCAATCCCCAAGCCCCAGTCCTTGCACCCCTGACGAGCCTAAGAGCCGCTCTGTAGTGGTGCCTCAACACTCAACCCTCAAGAATGATGAGCATCCGTGTTTCTAAGCCACCCAGAGATTCTAGAATGCCTGGGTCAAGGAACCTGCTGTAAATTTGTAGGGGATCCTCAACACGATATATTCCGTAGTTAAGAGGTTTTGAAAGTTCTGGGCAGATTGCTTAAGGCACGACCGCAATTGCCCTCGAATAGCCTCAGTTCATAAGGCCTCAAGCCCGCACTGAATCCCGAAACCTCAAAAGCCAGAACCCAAACTCCAATTCGCCAAAGTCTGCCACAATCACTAAACATTTCCCCACAACCCCAAACCTTTAGACCCAAAGCCTTAAACCTTTAGACCCAACCATCCCGAACAATCCGTGAACCTTTGCCCTAGCCCCTTAAACCCTAATCCCGTAAATCCTAAACCCCCTAAACCCCCAAACCCTAAATCCCCTAAACCCCCTAAACCCACTAAACCCACTAAACCCCCTAAACCCCCAAGCCCCCTAAACCCCCTAGACCCCTAAAGCTCTAAACCCCCCTAGACCCCTAAACCCCTACAGTAAAAGCCCAAAAGTTGGAAACTCAATAGCCTCAGTCCTTAAGAGTAATGTATAGGGAATCCCAGCTCTATTTGGCCTTAATCCGGTTTCCAACTTTATGAGGTTTACTGTAAACCCCTAAAGCCTCTAAACCCCCAAACGCCATCGGAGCCAAGGAGAAGACCAACTCTTCCAAGGGTAGCCGTGGCCTGGATTGCCTGTCGCATCAGCCAGGAGGCCCCTCGGTGGGCTCTTAGGGCTCTTAGGGCTCTTAGGGGTCTTAGGGTTTAGGGTTTGGGTCTTAGGGTTTAGGGTTTTTAGGGTCTCAAGTCTGGGGTTTGGGGTTCAGGGTTCTTAGGGTCTTTGGCATCTCAGGGTCTAGACTTTGGGTTTAGGGTCTGGCCAAAAGGTGGATTTGTTGGATGTGCCGGTAGAGCGTAGGGTTGTTTAGGGCGAGATCTGGAGGCTTAGGATCCAGGGTTCGGGGTTTAGGGTTTCGGGGCTGAATAGGAGGTAGCAGCAGCAGCCGGAGGAGGAGGAGGAGGAGGAGGAGGAGGAGGAGGAGGAGTTCTAGTAGTAGTCGTATTCCTGAGTTGAGACCCTGGCGTACTAATTGAACCTTCTGTATTCGCGCCTTGAGGTGTTTGACATGGGTACGGCCCCCACTCAGTAATAGTTCAATAAGATTCATAATATAGATCTAGTAGGACCTCAATAGTAGCCCTATTATAGACTCTTACTGTATGGGAGCCGTACCCAATGTTTGACTGACTGGGGAGGAGCTTTCGAAGCAGTCGGACGACAGAGGTGTTTTCTGCGCCCCTTGCACCCTGAGCGCCGAACGCTGATGCTTTGGCGATAATCCGAACTCCTGTCCTACCCTAAACCCTAAACCCCAAGTAAAGCTTGGCTTAGGAAAAAAAGTGTTTCCTGTCCGCAAGCGTCAACATCTAAAGCCTCCACCAAGAACCGTAAAATCTGAACCCTAAACCCTAAACCCTAAACCCCTAACCCCTAAACCCTAAAGCCTCCACCAAGAACCGTAAAATCTGAACCCTAAACCCTAAACCCTAAACCCTAAACCCCTAACCCCTAAACCCTAAAGCCTCCACCAAGAACCGTAAAATCTGAACCCTAAACCCTAAACCCTAAACCCTAAACCCCTAACCCCTAAACCCTAAAGCCTCCACCAAGAACCGTAAAAATCCGAACCCTGCATCCGCCAAAAAAACTCGAAGTCTGAACCTAAGCCGGGAACCCTCTGCTTTTGTCAAAATTATGGTCCTTTTTTGGTCCTTACTACTATGAGTAATAATAACAATAAGAATAGTACTAAGAATTAATAAGAATAATAACAATAATAGTAGTACTAAGAATTAATAAGAGTAATAATAGTAATATTTAGGGTACCGAAGAAGGGGCCTTAATTTTGACAACTACCCATGTAGCACTCGATGGAGCTCTTGCAAAACAGACCCCTACCACCCCCCCCCTCCCACAGCACCGTTGAACACACCCTGAACAGCCAGCCTGCTCGAAAAGACACCATGAAGGCCAAATAGAAGGCTCAACTCCCCTAAAGTAAAAGCCAGAAAGTTGGAATATGATTCTCCTAAGCCCTTTATGGCAAATTATAAGGTATCCTACCCTGAAACCATATTCCAACTTTCTGGAGTTCCCTTTAAACCCTAAATCCTGGACCCACAACCCATGAATGCCTAGACCCCTAGGCCCGAAATCCTACCGAAAGGCCACTGCAGTTTCAAAAACAAAAAAACCCTATAAGCCTGAAGACAAGCTTTCCGCTTTTGCCGCCCCCCCGAGGCTTCTGTGAGGAACCGTCGGGCACTGCCGATTGCACCTACAACTTTGTGGCTTTGACGCTTTGGGAGTGCTTCTTACAGTGCTGGTATGAGGGTGTATGAGGTCTTCGCAGGGTGTTGCAAGTCTTTGGGGTTTCGGGTTGCAGGGATCTAGGGGTTTAGTGAGTTGCTCCTGAGGGATGTTATGAGATTCGGGGTCATCAAATGTCAGGCCTTGGGTTTATAGGATTTTGGTTCAATTTCCGTGGAAGCCAGAAAGTTGGAATATCATTATCGTAACCCCTTTGAGGTCAAATATAGGGGATCCTACCATTAATCCATATTCCAACTTTCTGGAGTTCCCTTTTTGGGCATCTATGGATTTATGGTTTTTCGGGGTTTAGTTTTGGGAGGTTTCACGGTTGCAGGGCTTTCGAGTTTGGGCTTTCGGAGTTTGGGGGCTTTAGGGTTTGCACTTGAGGCTTGCGGTTTCAGGATTTGTCGAATGCGTTGAGGATCCTGCATGCTTTGTGGCTGCTCTAGAAGTGGATGCCAGGCGGCGTTTTGTGCGACAGGTGGAAGTGGAACCATGCAGCAACCTACACGACAGCAGGATCTTCCTTAATTGGATATTGGTCATTGGGAGAGACCGAGACGGACGGAAAGCGAGAGAGAGAGAGAGAGAGATAGAGATAGAGATAGAGATAGAGATAGAGAGAGAGAGAGAGAGAGAGAGAGGGAGAGAGAGAGAGAGAGGGAGAGAGAGAGAGAGAGAGAGAGAGAGAGAGAGAGGGAGGGTGGACCCTAAACCCTAAACCCCTAAACCCCTAAACCCCTAAACCCTAAACCTTAAACTCTAAACCCCTAAACCCTAAACTCCTAACCCCTAAACTCCAAACCCCTAAACCCTAAACCCCTAAACCCTAAACCCCTAAACCCTAAACCCCTAAACCCTAAACCCCTAAACCCCTAAACTCTAAACCCCTAAACCTGGAGACAGAGAGCTCCTTAAGGAGACCCTTATAGTACCCTATACTAATAGTAGCCCTAAAAGAGAGCTCCTTAAGGAGACCCTTGTGGTAACCTATAGTAGCCCTTTAAAGAGAGACTACCCTATAGTAGCCCCTTTAAAGAGAGACGGTGGGAGACAGAGAGAGACTCCAGGAAAACGCCGGCGAGATCGATCTGGACGAGCTCGAGCAGATTCCGGCACGCTGGCTTCGAGACTGTTGGGTCAGATATAGCATATTATAGGATCCTTAAGGGAGGGTGGTTCAAGGGGGGAGGGTATAAGGAATCCTTAGGGGACTGTAAGGGAACCTTAGGGAGTACTAGGGAGAATTAGGGATCACTAGGCTATATACCCCCCTTGGACCCCCTCCCTTAAGGATACTACAAACATATATAGGGGCCTCAATAATTGTAGTAAGGGTTCCCTAAAGGGGTCTACAAGGGATCTATACTAGGGTTCTATATCACTACTTTGGGGGTTCCTTATTGTAATTAAAGTATAATGGGCCCCGAGACCCTGTTCTTAAGCCCCCTTCCTACTTAGAATAGAAGGGTTTTCTGGGCTTCCTTATTGTAGTTATGGTATAATTTGATGGGACCCACAACCCTATTCTGGTTGTCAAGGTCCAAATAGTACAGGTGACCCAACAAGTCCTACGCAGATCCCCTTGGACGCCTTAGACTCTCCTATGCAGTGCAGTGCTATGTGCGCAGAACTCAGAGCTTTTTTGTTGACTCTCCTTGTCTCCGGTGCTGCATTCCATTTAGGGTTTAGGGTTTAGGGTTAGGGTTAGGGTTTAGGGTTAGGGTTTAGGGTTAGATTAGGGTTTAGGGTTTAGGGTTAAGCCTGCGACTACCGAGGGCGACTACAACGGTTGGATCGGTGCTGGCAATCGCGAGTACGACAGGACCCGTCGTGAAGGGTCAGGGTTGCCATACTGTAATTGTAGTTAGGAGCCCGCAAAATAGTATTGGTAATTATTTAGGCCCCTATAGTACATGACCATACGGGCATGAGGTGCCAGGCTTCTAAGGCACGGCAGTCCAATATTCTAAGCCCCAGAATCCCAAACTGTAAGCTGGAGGGATTTAGGGGTAGCAGCAGAGGCTTGTTTTAGTATGCTGTGGGTTTGCGACGGCCCTCATCTCCCCTGATCCTTTAAGCACCGACCCCCGCCAGCATGTTTTTGAAGACATCTTGGAAGGAACCCTCAAAACATGCCCTAAACCCTAAACTTAGGGGTACTTAGAAACAATTTTTAATTTTTGGTTATTATAATCCCTAAGACACAGCCAAAATTCATGATTTTTGCTAGGGTTCTAAGTTCAGTATAGTAAACGGGTCAGTTTCAGGAGGGTGTCCTGCTCCCCACCTCGGACATGACAGGATTACCGACCACGGCACTGGCATGACCTTCTGGGACAAGCTGAACGATGAGGTTCTTCTACAGTAGAAGCCTAAAAGTTGGAAACCCAAGTAGCCTCAATCCTGAAGAGAAATGTATAGGGAATCCCAGCACTATTTGGCCTTAATCCGGTTTCCAACTTTATGGGGTTTACTGCAAAGGGTTCAGCGTTTAGGGATCTATAAGGGCTTCAATTTGGGGGGCGACTGGTTTTTCGGGTTCAGGGTTCAGGAAGTTAGCGTATGGGGTCTTCGGCTGGGGGTGGAACCCTTGAGGATTTGACTTGAGTTTAGGGTTTAGGGTTTAGGGTTTAGAGTTTAGGGTTTAGGGTTTAGGGTTTAGGGTTTGAGAAGAGTCTTCAATTCTAGGACCCAGAGTAGGCCCTTATTCCCTTTTTTAGGGTTCAGGTTCCCTTACAGCACCCTTTAAACCAAAAAGGGCACCCTTTTTATTCCTAGGTTACTCTTAGGTCTAGAATTTCTATCCTGGCACACTTTAGGTGCCGCGTGAAGCAGGGAGGCCCCCAAAAAGACAGTTTTCGGGTTGAACGCTTGCGTTGAGGGATTGGGGTTGAGATTTAGGGCTTGGGGTCTCGAAAGGGATTTGGGGTTTTCCCTCGATGGATGTTTGTGACATGAACCCACCAAGAAGCCTTGACACCCCTCCGCATTCGGCACCCCAAGCTTAGGACACGCCCCAAATCCGATGCAGGACGCAAGGCCCTCATCCAAGACATGCGACTCTGAAACAAGCTTCTCCATCCCCAAGAGTCGTACCTGCGATCTCCCGAAGCTGCCTTAAACCCTAAACTTTAGCCCTAAACCTTAAACTCTAAACCCTAAACTCTGAACCCTAAACCCTTCTCAAACCCTAAAGCCTAAACTCTAAGCTCTAAACCCTAAATCCCTAAACTCTAAACTCTAAACCCTAAACCCAAAAAAGCAGTGTCCAGTTAAGCAGGCGTTGGCGAAGCAGCGCGTGGCCAAGGCGAAGGCCCTCTTCGAGAGCTTCGGCTTTGATTACAAGCTCCATACACGCACGCAGGTACACATATGGGTGGTTGTCAAAAATTATGGCCCCTTTTGAGTCCCCAATATATTACGGCACCTACCATTTACGGTACCCAACAAAGGGGCCATAATTTTGACAACCACACACATGTGCACGTACATGCCGGATGCCCAAGGTACAATGTAGAGCATGCAGTTGACATTACACAGCATATTGTCCACATTCTACATGGTGCCTTATACATATACATATGCGTATACACATACACACACACACATTACTTGTATTTGTGTATTTACATATACATAGATCGATGTGTATCTGAAGCTTTGTTTTGTGGGAGTGGATTAAGATATTTGGTTACAAGAGTTAAGCTTGGTTTCGGGCTTCATGGCATTGCGTTGGGACTTACAGGAGCTGGGGGAGCATTGCCGTCACGAGCGCGATGCTTGAGGTGCATCGTACTCTAAGCCATGAAGGAGAACGATTCGGGATTGTACGAGAATCGGGGCTTTCAACACCGAGACGTGCCCTAGGTGGCTTGGGTTAAGGATTTCGGGCTGCGTCGGTCTGAAGGCCCTAGCGAGCTCGGGGAAACAGGCGTCGTCTTCGGTCGAACGTCCCTCAACCCAAATCTGCTTAAATCCCGATCCCCTTAGACTCAAACTTCTGGATTAGACTATAGGGGCCCATTTTACTATAATTATAGTAAGGAACCCCCAAAATAGTATTGGTAATTTTTGAGGCCCCTATATTGCCATAGGAACCCCATACCCTGAACCGAACCTTTCCGCCCGAGCTTTCTGCAAACCCTGGACTGCAGTCGGCGTAGGTTGCTGCTAAGCATTCAAAAAGGCGTTGGATTCTCGCCAAAAGGCCTGGGTATCGTGTTTAGGCCTTAATAGCCTGAGGCCTGCAGACAGAAATGGCCTCGGTGGGTCCAGGGTCTTGGACTTTTGGGGTTTAGGTTAGGATGTTTTTTTTTTTGATTTCAGGCTTTCTGCTGTTCTCAAGGTTTGGCTATGAAAACCCTAAGAGCCCTAGAGCCGAAATCCTAAACCACCCTTATTCCCTTTTTGTAGTCCTAAGTTCCTTATAAAGTTACCCAATACCAAAAAGAGAGGCCTTTTTATTCTTAGGTTACTGGGTATCCTAGCCTATGGCGGAGCCCGAAGCCTGGCAAGGAAGCACTACCCTGGCTCCTATGAGACTTGCCCGCATTGGCGCTCTGGTGAAACCCTGAAGCATGTGAGCTTCTAAACCCTGTACTCTAGGGTTTAGGGGTTAAGGTCTAGGGTTTCAGGTTTAGGGTTTAAGGTTTAGGGTTGAAGGTTTAGGGTTTAAGGTTTGTGGTTTAGGGTTTAAGGTTTAGGGTTGAAGGTTTAGGGTTTAAGGTTTGTGGTTTAGGGTTTAAGGTTTAGGGTTGAAGGTTTAGGGTTTAAGGTTTGTGGTTTAGGGTTTAAGGTTTAGGGTTGAAGGTTTAGGGCTTAAGGTTTGTGGTTTAGGGTTTAAGGTTTAGGGTTGAAGGTTTAGGGTTTAAGGTTTGTGGTTTAGGGTTTAAGGTTTAGGGTTGAAGGTTTAGGGTTTAAGGTTTGTGGTTTAGGGTTTAAGGTTTAGGGTTGAAGGTTTAGGGTTTAAGGTTTGTGGTTTAGGGTTTAAGGTTTAGGGTTGAAGGTTTAGGGTTTAAGGTTTGTGGTTTAGGGCTTAAGGTTTAGGGTTGAAGGTTTAGGGTATAAGGTTTGTGGTTTAGGGTTTAAGGGTTGAAGGTTTAGGGTTTAAGGTTTGTGGTCTAGGGTTTAAGGTTTAGGGTTGAAGGTTTAGGGTTTAAGGCTTAAGGTCTAGGGTTTAAGGTTTAGGGTTGAAGGTTTAGGGTTTAAGGTTTGTGGTCTAGGGTTTAAGGTTTAGGGTTGAAGGTTTATAGGGCCCTCAACGCTACATCCCAAGCTCAAGATGTAGCCCTGGGAACCCAGGGCCCCCCCGCAGGCCCAAGGCTGGGACCCGTTTGAATGGTCTCGGTTCTTACTGTTGATGGTATAAATGGGAGTTTCCGAAAATATCACTTTATTCAGGAATATACCTTAAATCATATCAGGGATCCTACTATCATTTAAGGAATATTCCTTAATTAAGGGATATGGGAGTTTCCGAAAATAGGGGACCCTAATATAGTACCCTAAATAGTCGGATCCTTATTATAAGGGCCCCAAAAGAAGGTACCCCTAATTTTCGGCAACTCCCAAATCCTGCATTACCTTAAGGACGCTAAACTATCGGAATTATGGTATATCCTTATTATGGGTAATGCAGGATTTATACCATCAACCGTTATTGCAGGCAGGTAGAACTGCAGGCCGAAGCCAGCATCCTAGAATTGTTGAAGCCTGGCAACCTCCTATATGGAATAATTCGTGTTTCAAGATTGCTCCTCTCCTCCAGGTCCCAGGAATCTTCGTTGTGGCCGTCTACTGTTACAAACTCGCTCTGATTGCAGAGCACTGAAGGTGCGAGATGTTGATATCAATATATGATATGGACAATGACAAAGACTTCTTGTTGCAAGCGTTGCTGATGACTGAAATGATCTTGTTGATGATGATGTCGGCGAAAATGATGACGGTCATAGTGATGGTGGTCGTGATGATGATGACGATGGTGGTGGTGATGGTGATGGTGATGATGATGATGGTGCTTGGTGATGGCGTGGATGGTAGGTCAGGTGGCCACAGCGACAGAGGCAGTGGACATCTGATTTATGTGCGGTTTCATTGCTAGCGTTAGCTGCTAGGATGCCCAGTAGTACCCTTATTATTCCCTTTTTGTAGTCCTAGGTTCCTTATAAAGTTACTCAATACCAAAAAGAGAGGCCTTTTTATTCTTAGGTTACTGGGTATCCTAGAACCAGTTTGAGGGCTTGCGCATCGGGTTCAAAGAGCTGAAGCTGCACTTGTCAGGGGCCTGAGATCGACCCAAGCCCAACTCGAAGCTCCTAATGTCGGAGCCTTAATAATCACCTATACTATTTTGGGGATTATTTATTGTAATCATTGTATAGTGAGCCCCAAACCCCATTCTGCTTATTAAGACCCCTATATTACAAAATCCCCCAAAGGAAGGCATCGATGAGCCTCCTTGCGATTTCGACTTCTTCTCTTTCTACAAGATGGCACCGGGCGGGTGCCCAGCAAGCTTCAGGGTTGGAGTTTGGGGTTCAGGGTTTGCGGTTTAGGGTTTAGGGTTGGAGTTGAGGGTTCAGGGTTTAGGGTTCTACAGAGTTCAGGGCTTAACAGGGCGAGGGTGTCGGGTTCGGGATAAATCAGAATTGAGGGGTTCAGGGTCCCAAACTCGGACTCCATCCCCCAGGCTTGAGTAGCTGACGTGAGGCACTAGGGGCTTTTTGGTGGTGGATGTTGTTCTTGTTTCTTCGGGAATAAGTGGCTTGCGTGTTTAAACGGATTCTTGCTGCTGGTGAGGCCCGGCGGGGGTCTTGTCTTGCTTTGTTTCAACTCCAACTCGGCTGTGACATCGTTGTATGCGTAACGCAGAAGCCAAAAGCTCGGAGACTTGAGCTCTAAAGCCTAGAGCCCCAAAAAGAGATCGGAAGAATCAGCAATCTAGAGGGCTAAATAAGTACCAATACTACTGTGTGGGTTCCTTATCGTAGTTATAGTTTGGTGTACCCCGATACGCTGTTCTACTAAGTCTTAAGGCCCCCTGTAGTCATGAAATCGCTTTTGGAGTTTCCCTAAACCCTAAACCCTAAACCCTAAACCCTAAACCCTGAAGGTACAAGGACAACGGGCCTCAGCAGCCGAAGCCGGTGACCGCCGGGGTCCTGGCTCTCTTTCTGCGGAAGTGGCTTAATAGAGGGGCCTTAACAATTCCTATGTTATTTTACGGGTTCTTTATTATGTTCATAGTATAATACCCCCAAAACCCTATTCTAATGATTAAGGCCCCCATATTAGGTGTACCCTTGATTTTCTTGTGTCTTCACTCAGTCGCCTTTGTCTTCGTCTTGGGTTCACAGTTGATGTAAAGGAAGGGCCTTCTGAAATACAGAAGGCCATTGTGCCTCTGATTCTGAGAACGGGAAGGGGTCACTGCAGTTTGCTGGACCTGAAAACCTATAAGCCTCAACTCCAAACCCTGTGCCCTAAACCCTCCATTGTCGACGGGTGCTCCTGGCAGTTAGACCGTGTGACGTGCCTATCGGACGATATCTCATCTGCCGAGTAGGGTTTAGGGTGTTAGGGTTTAGGGATAGTCATCGGATACTGCAGTACGACTTATATGGGGACTTTGAGAAGGGGCGATTACTACTCGGAGGGCTCCTCTCAAGTCTTTCGGCCTGCCGTTAAGGTTTCTATCGTTCGGGGGTCAGGTGTTCGGTGAGTCGGAGGATTTGCCCCGCAACTAGGGCCTAGGGCCTTCGTAGGCTCTTTGCTTTTGAACAATGCATCTGTGCTCGTTGTAACTGAAGATGTCCTGAAAGGACGTCTGGAGATGTACTTTGGGCTAGTTTATGCTGAATCACTGAGGGGCCATTATCGGCTAATTATGCTCCTAAAGTTAAATCCTGAACCCTCGAAGAGACAGATGATCTGTCAGCCAATCAGCATGTTCATGAGCAGGGGGGGCTCGGCAGTTTAAGTTCTTGAAGCAGGTCCTTCTGTTTTGAAGCGGATGCAGGATGAACTTGTTCACAGTTTGCGGTTCAGTTACTCAGGAGCCACCTTGCGGCGATGCAGCGCCGGGAGACAAATGCTACGAGGCAGCTTGGCAGAAGGTAATAGTGTTGAGTATGTTTATCTCGCACTGTTGTGTGCTTGTTCTGTGAATACAGAACACTAGCAGCATGCGCATAGACTCCGCATAGGAGCCCAAGAATTCTCATGTTACTGTTATTGTTTTATGCTTCCTACACAAAGTCTAGTCAGATATCTGCAGGGCACTGTTCCAACCAAAGTTCCGTGTCTCAAGAGCCATCCGAAAGCGCCTTCTTAAAGAAGATGGTGATGCGCATGCTCATGAAGTTGGTGTTGATGCTGATGAAGATGATGGCGGCGATGATCATGCTGATGATGGTGATGGCCATGATGAGGCTAATGGCACAGATGCAGCGAACGTACTTTTCAGCTTGAAGTTTTCAGATGTTTGGCTTCGGACTTAGGGTTCGGATTTAGGCCTTAATAGGAGGGTCGGGGGACTTAGTCAATAGGTAGTAAGCAGACTTATAAGTACCCTAAAGGGGACCCTAATTGGGGTTATGGTACTTATAAGTCCTTAAAATAACCCGTTACTAAGTCCCCCGACCCTCCAAGTACTCTTCTCGTTTTGGACTACTTTAACTCTCTATGCCTCGTCATCCTCACCGAACCAACAAACAAAGAACCTGGGAAGATACCGTAACTACAGCAGCCTGCACCTACGACTGGGACTAAGCCCCAATCCCTGAAGCACCTAAGCATTAAGCCCCAAGACCCCTAATATAGGGGCTTAAATAATTATCCATACGATTTTGGGGGTTCCTTTTTATATTTATAGTGTAATGGGCCCCAAAGCCCTATTCTAATTTTAATGGGCCCCTATATTGGGCCCCACAAAGCCAGCCTTGTCTCTGCGATCAGGAAATCAAGTGGGCGAAGTCCGACGGCATCTTCGCCAACCCGTCCTGGTATCCCGGGCTCCTTGGGTCAAACTACTCTAGGGGCCTGACTATAATTACCTTTAGTGTTTTAGGGGTTCCTTTATCATAATTATGGTATCCTGGGCTCCTTGGGTCAAGTTTCTTGGGATCCTCTTTGGGAATCTTGCTGGGGATTCTACAACAGGAGAAGTTGAAACTGTCTCCTGCTGGGTTCCCATAATTCATCCCCTTCCGTTGGGGAGCCCCTAGGCGACTTCCTTCGCATACTTACCAAGGGATCTATAGGGTTCCTTGAAGGGATCTATGGAGTTCCTTAAAGGGATCTCTAGGGTTCCTTTAAAAGGATCTATGGAGTTTAGGGTTTAGGGTTTACTTACCTTGGGTTGGTAGGGAATGGAGGAATGGGGTACAATTATAACCACGGTTACTACCATTCTTCCATTCCCTACTAACCAAGGGTAAGCATCATGTTCTCACCTGCACCTTCCGCGTGACAGCCAACGAAGGCTCTCCCCGACGTCGAGCGATGCTTCTTTCCAGAAGGTGCTGCATGGCCTCTTGGGTGAATTCGGCGCTCGGTGGCGTGGGTTTAGGTGGGGTTGGGTGGGTTACTTGGGCCTGAGGGCTCGGAGTACTGAACGGTGTAGTGTTGGTGCCCTGCGGGTGCTTTGCTGTCACAGCAATGACGTCACCACACATCATCATAGTTTCAGAGTCGCCGCAATCAGCGTTGTCCACCATCACCACCATCACCACCATCACCGCCATCACTGCCATCACTGCCATCACTACCATCACTACCATCACCACCAGCACCACCATCACCACCATCACCACCATCAGCATCACCAACACTATTACCATCACCATCACCAGCATCATCATGTCCACCTCCATCACCAAGCCATCACCATCATCATCATGATCATCACAATCACTAACACCAATTTCACTAGCGTCAACATCAAGATCACCATCAGTATCCTATTCTCCTTTCATCGTCGGCCAACTGATGGTTTTCACAATCACGTGCCTTGCTTTTTGGCCTAGTAGTGGAGTAGGTAACCTTTAACCTTCTTTGCCTAGTATAGTCCCTATATAATCCCTATGTAGCCAAAAAGGTTAACCTTTAGTTCCCATGATACCCGACAAGTAGGTAATTTCGACTTGTCAGCATGTTTGATAATACTGGTAGTATCCCCTTTATAATAGTCCCCAGTACATACTTGTGCAAAATCTAATATCCCCACATCCGATTCTAATGCCCTAAACCCTAAACCCCAAACCCTAAGTCAGCATCTGCAAGCTGCTGCCCAGCTGCCCACCTGATCGGGTCTTGTCGGAACCGCGATTCATAGGAGGCCAAAAGGGGTTTTAGCCTATGGCGGTTTAGTAGGGATTAGGGTTCCCATAATAGGGTTCATATTCAGGAACCCTAAACCCTAAACCCTAAACCCTAAACCCTAAACCCTAAACCCCAAACCCCAAACCCTAAACCCTAAACCCTAAACCCTAAACCCCTACCCCAAGAATCTTAACTCCGCCCCTTTTGGCCTCCCATCAGCCCTGCACCCGGAGCCCCAGCGCCTGAAGGGCTGAACTTACGATTGGTTAGTGTTCCTTAAAGGGATCTATGGAGTTCCTTAAAGGGATCTATAGGGTTCCTTAAAGGGATCTATGGAGTTTAGGGTTTAGGGTTTACTTACCGATTGGTTAGTAGGGCATGGAGGAACGGGGTACAATTATGACTACTACTACTACTACTACTACTACTACTACCACTACTACTACTACTACTACTACTACTACTACTACTACTACTACTACTACTACTACTACTACTACCGCCATTTTTCCATTCCCTACTAACCAAAGGTAAGTGAAGCCCGCAGACGCGCAGACCCTGAAAGTAGGAGTCTTATGACAGTAGAGGTCTCGAAGATGTCATGTTGAAGGTTTAGGGCTTTAAGGTTTCAGGCATTTAGGGCTTAGGTTTTTTTGGGTCAACGGTGTCAGGTTAAGAGTATCAGTTCGACGGCTGAAGGTTCAGGGAGTAGGGCTATGGGTTTAAGGGCTTGCAGGGTTTGAATTCCGTTTATCCTCAACCCTAAACCTTCAACCCCTAAACCTCTAAGCCCCTCAACCCTAAACCCCTAAACCCCTGAACTCTAGACGCTAAACCCCTGAACCCGGATGCCTCAGGCAGCGGCGGCACCGCGTGCGCCGCTCCGTGTGAGGCGTAGGTTCTGCAGGGCTGGAGCAGGCTTGTGGCATTTCCCTTCATAACTGAATATACAGAATATACACTTGGGGCTACTTAGAAATATTTTTAATTTTTGGTTATTATAATCCCTAAGAAACAGCTAAAATTACATTTTTTGCTAGGGTTCTAAGTTCAGCATAGTACATACATGCACATCCGTCTATATATGTATATACAGATATGTATCTACACATATCTAAACCCTAAAACACATACGCATTAAGGATGTAACTATGAACATATCCAACAGTTATGTAATGATATACTGATATACTGCCACTTACTTATGTGTTTGGTTTTGATTGTGTGTATGTTTCTATGTACACAGGTAAATCTTCAGTTATACTGCACTCGAAAAAGGAGGGTATGCATGTGATTCCACTGGACTTGAGCCCAAAAGATTACACCGAAGATGCTCCAAAACTCTTCAGTGTTCTGGACGACCGTCACCATAGCCGCAATTTTCACATTCTGTCGGTTATGAATGCTACGAGGTACGCTTATTTCTGCTAGTGGTTTATACCCTGGAACCTATACCCCCTACCCTAAACCCTAAACCCGAAGCCCCAAACCTCAAACCCGAAGCCCTTTAATTCCAGAACTAAGAGCTCTTGAAACCCTATACCCCTAAACCCGAAACCCTATACCTTAAACCGGAACCCCAAACCTCAAAGCCAAAGCCCTCTAAGTCTAGAACTAAGAGCTCTTGAGAGTGGGAGCCTCAAGCCTTTCGTTGCCTTTCGGGGGCCTCGATAGGTAGGATGAAGGTAGGTGGGATAATCCCCAAATAAGAGTGTTTATATAAGGGATCCTTCATCCTACGTACCTTCGTCCCACCTTTTGAGGTCTCCAACTTTCGGGGGAAGTGGCGAACAACAGCTTCGCACCGAAACCCATAGGCTTTGGGAGCTGACAGGGCCAGCCAGGCCCAGGGGATGCATCCTTGATACGGGTTTAGAGGGGTTTAGTGTAGTTTAGGGTAGTTTAGGGTTTAGGGTTTAGGGGTTTAGGGGGTTTAGGGGGTTTAGTAGGGGGTTTAGGGGGTTTAGGGGGTTTAGGGGGTTTAGGGTAGCTCTGACGTTTGTCTATGACAGTAATCGTAGTGAGGTCTTAATCTGGAGTCTCTGGAGGACTCGGTGTTTCAGGGTTATTCGCGTTTAGGGTTCAGGGTTCATAAGGGTTTGGGGTTCAGGGGTTCAGGGGTTATAAGGGTTAAGGGTTTGTAAGGGTTTAGGGCGTTAGGGCACCTGGTTCGGGGTTTTCGGACCGAGGATGTAGAGATATAGCAAAAATCCGGAGTACAGGATGGGAGGACCCGGAGTTGATCTGTCATTGTCAAAATGATGGTCCTTTTCCGGGTCCCTACTATAATACGGCACCCATTATTTAGGGTACCCGAAAGGGGACCTTAATTTTGACAACTACCCATCTGTCATTGCCATTACTTCTCTGTTCACTTAGTTGTTATGAGGTTTGCGTCGTCAGGTTTTAGGCTTACACACTCTTCACTTTCTGGTTTTGTCGGTCATCAGTTGATGACGACGTTGATAGGCATCAGTGTTTGCATTCGCTGTTATAAAATCGAGCTCATTGTCGTTGTACTTTCATGTCGATCACGATGATCAGGATCATGGTGATGGTGATGACGATGATGATGATGATGATGGCGACCTTTGATACTGTCCTCGTTACTTAGACTCTACACGTCTGTGCATGCTACAGTTTCTGGGTTCTGGTGCTGAGGGAGTCGGTCGCCCCGGCACACTACGAGCAAGGCTCGGGATAGCGCATGGAGCCGCATGGAGCTGGAACACCGCTCCTCAACCACATAATTCTACATACTGTCGTAGTCTTACAGACTGTCTTGATTTTACATATTGTCTTCCAAATGTCGAAAAGGTTAAAACAAAAAAGTTGTCATGATCATGGCGGTAATGATCTGCGCGATTAAAGTTCAGAGTGAGCTGGTGGTACTGATTACGGACATGAACAGTGCTCCAGATGATCAGCATGGGGTGGTGATGAAGATAATGGTGATGCTGACGTTGATGCCAATCAGACGACGACACACACACACACACACACACACACATATAGGGGAAGTGTGCTTAGGCCTCAAGCTTCCTTGTGTGCTATGCTGGCATTTATTCACAGAAGTAGGATGCAGTGTTGGAAGGAAGGATAAAGAGATCCGGGTGTAGTTCACACTGGGCATGAGTCCATGCTGCCAGTTTTGCTCACCAAGAGCGTGAAGTATGTCAAACATAGGCGGCGCTGGAGAGATTGCCCATCTGCCACCTGTTGAAGCCCCGTTCTGTACCCCAGAAGGATCATCTTGGGTCCTAATGTTGATGATATAAATCCTGCATGACCCATAATAAGGAACATACCATAATTCCCATAGTTTAGGATCATTAAGGTAATGCAAGATTTCTCTCATCGACCGTAAATCTAGCTGTTGCCAGTACTGTTCTTTGGAGTCCCTCCGCAGAATAGAGGCCGGAAGCCCGGAAGTGTAAGCAGAGACCTCCCAGCTTTTCAGCTGACCTGCAGATCTGTACTGGCTCTGGGTTTACGGGGTTTCTTGTAAAGTTCAGCAGAGTTTTATAGATTACAGTATAGAGTATAGACTGTACATCAAGCATCGATAATTAGGGTGTTATACGATTTGCAGGATCGGGTCGTCAGAGCAAGTGGAAATGCTACCTGTGCGAAGACAAGTACGAGAAGCAGTACAAGTGACTTGGGTTTTGCTACGTGACAGAGGAGCAGTAGTAGGAGAGTGACGACAATGACGAGTATTTCGCTAAACTAGCAGGCGTAGCTGCAGGTGCCGTAGTCATGGTTGCAGCTGTAGATTCATTCGCAACAACATCAGCACTAGATCTACCGGAAGCATCAGAAGCAGTCATGGCATAGGAAGCACTAGTCCCCACATGAGCAGATATTGAAGGCCAATAGGATTGGAAGTGAATACCTAAGTTTCACAGCAACCTCATCACCTTAACCTGCTACCTCACGGAGTGATGTTGTGCCACTCTGGCATGCCGGGGCAGGTGAGGCCATAGCCGGCTGCGTTGCAACGTTTGCATGTGTCTTCCTTTCACACGATCCGCGCCGAATCTTTGGGGTCCCATGATTTCCGGGGCCTTGTCACGAAGCAGCTCCTAAACCCGAGGACCCGAAGACCCGAAGACCCTTTTGGGTGCCGAAGTCAACCAAGGGGCCCTTTGAATTTGGCTTCGAGCCGCCTCCGGTTGCCAAAAGGCTAGCAGGTATGGGGACCTTTGTTCGGTATCAGGAGATGAGAAAGGGTTCCAGGTGTATGGAAGTAGCATGCAGGGTTTAGGCTGTTCCCCCTGCCAGCCGCAGGGAGAGGCTGTGCGAACGAGATGTCTGCCAAATCTTAGTCTGAGTTGCAACACTGGCTGCAGGCGCTGTGAGTGCAGAAAAGGAGCTCGACCTGTGACCCTCGCGCACTTGCACCTCAGAATCCCAACCCTGCAAAACTGCAATCCCTGCACATACCACGCAAGCGAAAATTGAGGTAAGCAAGGAACGCGTGTGTACAATCTACCTATCTGTCTATCTATCGGTCTATCTATCTGTCTATCTATCTCTCTCTCTATATATGTATATACGGTTTTATAGACAGACAGGCAGACATAGACAGACGTAGACAGACAAACAGACAGACAGACATATGTAAATGTGTGGTGGTAATAAAGCTTAAGAGCTGCTACTGCTACTACTACTACTACTACTACTACTACTACTACTACTACTACTACTACTACTTCTACTACTGCTACCATGCTGCTACTACTACTACTACTACTACCACTACTACTACAGCTGCTGCTACTGCTGCCACTACTGCTACTGCTACTGCTACGCCAGGCCCCGCCGGGGGTGGACCCTGGGCGCTTCAAGGTCATGAAGATGGAAGCGGTGCCGCACCTCAGAGGGGACAAGGGCCAAAGGTCTTTTTCGCGTTTCGTGGTTTTTGGGGCCGACTTCGGCAAGGAGATGGGTTCGCGATTTAGTGGCTGCAGGTTTGAACTGAAGAGATACAGTATCTGTGTCTGGACTGAAGAGCCGTCAAGACGCTTGGGCTGATTTTCAAGAAGGGCCAGGCTCCTTCTAGGATGCCCAGTAGTACCCTTATTCCCTTTTTGTAGTCCTAGGTTCCTTATAAGTTACCCATTACCAAAAAGAGAGGCCTTTTTAGTCTTAGGTTACTGGGTATCCAAAGGGGTTCGCGATTTAGTGGCTGCAGGTTTGAACTGAAGAGATACAGTATCTGTGTCTGGACTGAAGAGCCGTCAAGACGCTTGGGCTGATTTTCAAGAAGGGCCAGGCTCCTTCTAGGATGCCCAGTAGCACCCTTATTCCCTTTTTGTAGTCCTAGGTTCCTTATAAGTTACCCAATACCAAAAAGAGAGGCCTTTTTATTCTTAGGTTACTGGGTACCCTAGTCCTTCTTTGGGAGCAGGGCGGAAGGCTGCTGCCTACTTAAAGGCTCATGGGACTTAGTACGTAAGGTTAAAAGTAGGTTATAATTAGGATAACCCCACTTAGGGGACTTAGAACCCCAATTATAACCTACTTACTAAGTCCCATGATCCTATAAGTATGGTAGGAAATTATAGCAGCGATGTCCATAGCTCGTAGAGTTGCTCACCACAGAGCAAGACAAGGTCGCAAGTACATCTATAGCCGTAGCATCAACATGCAGGTGGGTGGTGAAGTATCCGTCTGAGTGTTAGTGGTACTACTCCGTTTTATCGACCTCAGTTGGAGCAATGGTGACGACGACGAGGATGCCGACGATGAGAGCGACTACAACTACCGCTACCTCGGCCACTCACACTGCCACTACCACCACTACAGACTACGACGCCGACGCCGACTGCCACAACGACAATGACAAAGAACAACAAGAGCAGCAACTACTAATATAGGGGCCTTAATAATTAAGGTGTTGCTGCTGCTGCCGCTAGTGCTAACGCCACCGCAGTTGCCACGGCTACTGCTACCTCGACTGCGGGGCTACTGCTACTACAACTCGCCGCTACGGCTAGTTCAATATGTTCGGCGACGATACTACAACTGCGACGACTAGACAACGGCCGCCACCCGGGCGACAATTGGTTTACGGTGTACACGCTAGAACTGCAAGGGTTTCGATTTCAAAACCTCGTGACTTGCAATGCACCACGACTGCTACTTTTGCTGCTACTGCTACCGGTGCTGTTACTATTGCCACTACAATTGCTGCTGCAGCAGGTGTCGCGTGCATCAAGAAAAGATCAAGAGTGGTTGCTGCGAGCTTGTGCGTGAAGCAGCCCAGCAGGATCTGTCAAGAAGGCTTCGGTTTAAGCTGTACGGTTTAAGGGTCTAGGTTTTAGGGTTTAGGTTTAAGCTGTACGGTATGGAGCAGCGATGCTGTATCATGCAGCCCTGGCTTGCAAAAAGTGCATTACGGCAAGCTTCTGAACAGTGAGGGTTCCGGCTCTTTCGGTGCCATGCTTGGAGGTTCATGGGACTTAGTAAGTAAGGTTACAAGTACCTTAGTTGGGGTTATAAGTAGCTATAAGTAGAGTCACTTTACTTGTAACCCTAATTACTAAGTCCCATGATCCTCTAGGTAGTCTGGATTGCTTCCTCCTTCTTTGGAAAGGGTCGAGCGGTGGGCACCTGGCTCTCACGAGGTGCAGATTCGCGCGCTCATCGGGAAGGGCGGCGAGACTGTGCAGGAGACAATGGGTAAACCCTAAACCCTAAAGGGGCGGGAGGGTGGGCTTATATAGCGAAACTATATTGGCGGTTCCTAAACCCTAAACCCCTAAACCCCTAAACCCCTAAACCCTAAACCCTAAACCCCTAAACCCTAAACCCCTAAACCCCTAAACCCCTAAACCCCTAAACCCTAAACCCCTAAACCCTAAACCCCTAAACCCTAAACCGTAAACCCCTAGACCATATGGCATAGCTTGGGTAAAGTACGAAACTTCGAAGATGCAAAGTCAAACGTTTGGTTATAATGAGTTTGGGGTTCCAGGTTCATGCATTTGGGGTGCCTTTAAAGGGTTACTATAAGGGCACTATAAGGGTTCCTTTAAAGGGCACTATAGGGCTTCAGAGTTTCCGAAAATTGGGTACCTTATTTCGGGGTCCTTATGATAAGGATCCCACGATTTAGGGTACTATATTGGGGTCCCCATGTGCAATATAAGCCTCAAAATTTAGTCCCCGATATATCCTTGGTATAGTATACCCCCAAGCCCGATTCCAGTTATCAAGTCCTCTAAATTGGTCAGTCGTTTAAAACCAGGCGCCTCAATGAAGCCAGTAGCTAACAATAACTGTCATTGAATCTTGTGTTTGTCTCTGTGTGTGTATGTGTCTGCCCAACCCCTAAGCCGTAAAGGGCTTTCGGGACTGCCGTGGCCATGCCAACTCGATGTATGTGAAGGTTGTGCCAGCAGTCGGACCGCACACTCCCGCCAAAACACGTCCCAAAGTGCTAATCATTCGTAATGGCAACCAGAAGAAAGTAGGTATTGAAACCTGAGGGGATTCCTTGTTTAATATATCCCCCCAAAAGGCCCATTCTAATCATTACATCCTTCTAATAGCCCTTGTAGTCACCCTTATATAGCCATGAAAGGAACCCTATTCAATTTATCAAGGCCCCTCAAGTACGCATCAAGTTCCCGCCCGCCCCAGGAGATCCGGAGGAACAGCGGATCGGAGGCAGCATGGCAATCTTGAAGATGTGCCGAGTGTTCAGGGTACTCATTAGGGTCCCCAATTTGGGAAACCCCTATATTCTTGCTCATCGTTACCATAGGGGTTTCAGAATGTTCGAGGTTTATCGCTCATGGACGGTGGAGTTCAAGGTCTGGGATCTGATCAACCTTGTGTGTACTGTTCTTATGTGCTTGCTATATCAGTACTATGCGTTCTATTGGTAGTATCAGTATTATTGGTTTTATGGCTACCCAGAGATCCCAATACCCCTTAATTAAGGAATATACCTTAAATCATAATATTAAGGCCCCTATAATTTAAGGTATATTCCTTAATTAAGAGGTATTGGGTTCTCTGGGTACTGGCTAGCACCGACTCCATATCAAGGGCTTGGTCTAAGAGGTGAGGCTTCGAAGCTCTTTCTCCCAAGCCCTGACAGGCCCGAAAAGGGAAGAACCAAGCGTATCTGTTAGAAGGGGCCGCCACCCTGTAATAAAGGGAACTCCAGAAAGTTGGAATATGGATTAATGGTAGGATCCCCTATAATTTACCTTAAAGGGGTTACGATAATGATATTCCAACTTTCTGGCTTCTACTGTAGTGGTATAATAGGAATGTCATAGGGCCCTAATATACTCCTTATAGTCAATATTACAGGGTGGGGGCAGCTTCTAAGGTATCTGTCGACATTATCGACGGGGATATGGGTAGTTGTCACAATTATGGTCCTTTTTTGGGTACCTATTATAGTAAGGCACCTAATATTTAGGGTACCCCAAAACGGGACCACAATTTTGACAACCACCCATACCACAAACACAGAAGATTATACATTATGATAGTGTTGCTGCCAAGTATACGAGTGACGAGAACTATAGAAAAGGCTGGTGGCGGAAGTACGTGCTTGAGTAGTTCCGACAATTGTTTCATAAATTCTTAAACAAGGTCAGATGCTAGGATGCCCAGTAGTACCATTATTCCTTCTAGGTTCCTTATCAAGTTACCCGATACCAAAAAGAGAGGCCTTTTTATTCTTAGGTTACTGGGTATCCTAGGATGCCAAGTGTTGGGTAAACCCTAAACCCTAAACCCTAAACCCTAAACCCTAAACCCTAAACCCTTGCGCGCGGTCTTGGCAACCCTAGACCCTGAAGATACTGACCCGTCCCAATGGCAAAACACTTTAGCCTTCGTATGTGCAAGCACCGCTACCCGTACCAGCAAACTCTGCAGTAGAAGCCAGAAAGTTGGAATATCATTATCGTAACCCCTTTAAGGTAAATTATAGGGGATCCTACCATTAATCCATATTCCAACTTTCTGGAGTTCCCTGTAACACGCCCTAAGCTCCTCAACCCCTAAACCCCTACATCTCGGACCCTTAAAGGGGTTACGATAATGATATTCCAAGTTTCTGGAGTTCCCTATATGCCTCTCGAACAGCTAGGACCCTGAATGCAGCTCGAGGGTTGCCTCTTCGTGCTTCTTGTTCCTTGGGAATTTACATGGGAGTTTCCGAAAATGCGGGGTACCTTATTTAGGAGGGGTCCTTATAATAAGGATCCTACTATTTGGGGTACTGTATTCGGGTCCCCCATTTTCGGAAATCCCCAGATAGGTGTTGTGTGTTACGAGTGGCAACAATTCTACTTGCAATAAGAGTACTAGCAGCGACAGCAATGGTTTAGGCGGCTTGTGCTAAGATCCCATAAGGCCATACAGGTAGCAGACACGCTTTAATTGCACTCGACGTTCTGAGGTCTGCGGCCCAAGCCCCCAGTCGTAAGCCCTACGCAGATCCGAAGCCAGAACACCCAAATGCGTAAACCTTGGGTACGGCCCCCACTCAGTAATAGTTGAATAATATTTCATAATATAGATATATTAGGGCCCTAATAGTAGCCCTATTATAGACTCTTAGTGTAAGGGGGCCGTACCTAACGTAAACCTTAAACTCTTACAGCCCTAGACCCGAAACCCGAAACACCTGCCGAGTTCCAAAACCTATCTTATGCGGCCCCTATGCCAAACACAAACACAAACCCTTGTAGCTAATCTGTACAGTTCTCCTGTATAGAACCATCAAGAATCCGTATAGAAACCCAAACGGGAAGCACTGATACATATATATATATATATATATATATATATAGAACTCTTCAAGAACCCTTGTAGAAAGCCCATATGAGACCCAACAGGTGAAGATCGACCATCAGCCGTCAGATCCGTTCGGAACGGCTCGGGGCTTAGTCGGTCAGCAGAGCTTTCGTTCGTTCGTGTTTTCATTTGTTTCTAGGATGCCCAGTAGTACCCTTATTCCCTTCTTGTAGTCCTAGGTTCCTTATAAAGTTACCCAATACCAAACAGAGAGGCCTTTTCATTCCTAGGTTACTGGGTATCCTAGCATTTGTTTTGTGTGTGTGTGTGGGGGGCTTCTACAGGGGGTTTTCAGGGTGTCCGCAGATCCGGGCTTTTGGGGGGCATAGGGTTTGCGGGCTTTTCAGGGTGTTTGGGCGTAGTTGAAGTGTTGAGATCTAGGCCTGACGTTATAGGTCTTCAGGCATTTCGGGGCATAGCGTTCGGATTTCGGCCTGCAGCTTTTGGAGAGGCATTTCGGTTATTTATGCGAGTGAAAGCTCTCCCTTCTAAGCCCGACATATACTTGCAACCTTTCGGCACTTTCGCTTCAGCTAGCGCGGGGGTTTGGGGGATTGAAGCATGTACTTCGTAATGTAGGAACCTGAAAAAGAAACCTTGGGCCTTTATTCGGGTTCCTTATATGAATCCTAGTATTTTGGGGTTCTAGGCCCAGGGATTTTTAATCAGGTTCCTACATTAGGGGATGAGATGACCCGACTCGTCTCTTCCAGGTCACCATCATCGGAGATCTGGTCAAGACCGAGGCTATGATTCAGGACGGCCGGTGCTAGTCGTCGTCTTCTTAAGGCGGAACAGTAACACAGGGGCCTAAATAATTACCAATGCTATTTTGGGGTTTCCTGTTTATTAAAATAGTATAATGGGCCCCAAAACCCGGTTCTAATCATTACGACCCCCATGGCAGTCACAGGAGCAGTTTCGGGCTCAAGCTTCGAACTCTAACCCTGCAGGCCCATTCCTTCTTATGCCTGCAGGCTTGGAAAAACTGTGAGGGTTCAGGGTTTAGGGCTGTGAGACTGTGAGTATAGCTCTGCAAACTGAATAGCAAGTCACTTGGCCTGCCCGGCTGCGTGCATCAAGTTATTGGAGCTATCATTCAGGATATCGGGTTTGCGGTTTAGGGTTACGGGTGGTTTCGTTGAGAGGTGCTGCGCATTCCCCCGAACCCCTAAACCCTAAACATTGAAATCAAGACCGAAAACCCTAAGCCCGAAAACCAAAACCCAAAGCCCTAAACCCAAAACCCTGAACCTTGAAACCAAAGCCTCCGCTCTCAGAGTGATCTGCAGGAGGCGCTGAACGCCAAGGGCTGTCCCCTGGGGGTTCGGCTCCGAGCCGTTGGCGAGTGTAGGCTTTAGGATAGCAGGGCTCTGCCAGGGTTGTTCAAGGCTCGCAGAAGGTTTCCACGAGGGCCGTACGTGCCGGGTAATATGTGACGCCTACTATCTACTCTACAGTACATCATGCATAATATGTACTACATGGCGTGTAAATATACATATACACAGAAATCATGTAAAACGCTGCAGACCCTGAAGCAGTAGAACGTAAGGATGTATGATCCCCAAACCCTAAACCCTGATCCCTAAGCCCTAAACCAAATATCCTGAGGAAGTAGAACGTAAGGATGTATGATCCCTAAGCCCTAAACCCAGATCCCTAAACCCTAAACGCTGATCCCGAAACCCTCAACCCTGAACCCCAAAACCCCGATCCCTAAACCCCTTATCCCTAGGATCAAACCGTGAAGCCGAAACCCTGATCCCTAAGCTACTGTTCATGACATAAATCCTGCATTACCCATAATAAGGAATATACCATAATTCCCATAGTTTAGGGTCCTTAAGGTAGTGCAGGATTTTATATCCTCAACCGTAGTATGGATGCTTCGAGGCCAACCTGCTCTGACTCTCCTCCCCCGAGCCTACACCCTAAACCCTAACCCTTAGCCCTAAAGCCTAAACCCTAAACCCTGAACCCTAAGCCTTAGCCCTCAACCCTAAACCCTAAACCCTGAACCCTAACCGTTAAACCCTGAACCCTAAACCCTAAACCCTATAAACCCTAAACCCTAAACCCCGAGGTTCCCGCCCGAGTGCCGGCCACGCCGGGGGCTGTGCCGACCCCGACACCAGCTCTCTCCTTAGAACGGCACTCTAGAGCTGTTTAGGATTTAGGGTTTAGGTGAACTTAGGGTTTTAGAGTTTAGAGGAGTTTTGGGGCTCAGGGTTTATCGGAGTTTTGAGGCTCAGGGTTTAGGGTTTAGTATTTAGGGCAGGGCGGCTTCGGGTTCAGGAGCAAGGTTCGGGACTTGGGGGGTATCAGGATCATTCAGCTGCTAGGTGCATAGGGTTCAGGATTCATGACGTACGCTTCGTACAGGGAGCACGTCGGGTCGTTCCAAGCGAATCTACAAATAAACAAATAGATATATACATATATATATGTATATATATATATATACAGATATATATATATATAAATATAAAAGTAAGTGTAGGGTCTATAGTCGTTTGGGAATTTGCTTCGCCGCGATAGTGAATAGTTGGGTGGCGGAGGAGGGGGGCATGTGCTTCTGTGCCTAAGCCTGGTCAACTAGCTCCAAGACAGTATTGCATGCGGTCTTTGCAACCCTAGATCCTGAAGATACTGACCCGTCCCAATGGCAAAACACTTTAGCCTTCGTATGTGCAAGCACCGCTACCCGTACCAGCAAACCTCTAGGATGCCCAGTGGTACCCTTATTCCCTTCTTGTAGTCCTAGGTTCCTTATAAAGTTACCCAATACCAAAAAGAGAGGCCTTTGTATTCTTAGGCTACTGGGTATCCTAGAAGAGGGTGGTGAGCCCGGGCAGTCGGGCATAACGTGTCTTACTGGAGAGAGATCTTGGATCTTACCTACTTGCGTGCATGCTTGAGTTCATAGTATGCATGCTTCCCCTAAACCCCTACACCCCTAAACCCCTAAACCCTAAACCCCCAAACCCCCAAACCCCTAAACCCCTAAACCCCCAAACCCCCAAACCCCTAAACCCCTAAACCCTAAACCCCTAAACCCCTAAACCCTAAACCCTAAACCCCCAAACCCCTAAACCCTAAACCCTAAACCCTAAACCCCTAAACCCTAAACCCTAAACCCCCAAACCCCTAAACCCCTAAACCCTAACCCCTAAACCCTAAACCCTAAACCCCCAAACCCCTAAACCCCTAAACCCTAAACCCTACACCCCCAAATCCCTAAACCCTAAACCCCTAAACCCTAAACCCCCAAACCCCTAAACCCTAAACCCCTAAACCCCTAAACCCTAAACCCTGAACCCTACACCCCCAAACCCCTAAACCCTAAACCCCTAAACCCTAAACCCTAAACCCTAAACCCTAAACCCTAAACCCCTAAACCCTAAACCCCCAAACCCCTAAACCCTAAACCCTCGACTTATGGTAACTCCGAGGTCCCAACTTCCCTGAAGTGGGGAGACAAGATGTCAGCTCGTGAACTGTTATTCGGACCCCTCTCTACTTACCTTTGGTTAGTAGGGAATGGAGGAATGGGGTACAAGTATAACTACTATTACTACCATTCTTCCAATTTGGTGCCATAGACCGCTAAACTTACCTTTGGTTAGTAGGGAATGGAAGACTGGTAGTAATAGTAGTTATAATTGTACCCCATTCCTCCATTCCCTACTGACCGAAGGTAAGTCTAAGGAGATGTTGAGTGGGAGCCCAATGTCCTCCGAGATGATGTTGAACCCTGTTGGCAAATCGTGAAAAGCTCATGTCGGGTGGGGAGGCCTAGGCCGGATATGTTGCAGGCAAAGGCTGAAATCCGAAGAAGGTGTTGCTTGGCGAACCCTAAGCTCTGGAATGAGATGCTGGCCAACCTAGGATCGTCGGATGGCCAAAAGGAGCTCAAACAGTGAGATGCCGGTTGGGCACCCTCAAGCTCAGCGGAGATCTTGCATGGCCGAATCCTGAAGCCGTGGAGAACAGAGATGGCAATGGTACAGAGGTTTAATAATAATATTATTATTATGATTATTGTTGGGGTTATTAATGTTTTGATGAATATGATTATTATTGTTATTATTGTTGTTATTATTGTTAGTACTATCTTTATGAATATTTTTATTATTGTTATTGTTATTGTATTTATTATTGATATCTTGTTTTGGGTAGGACGGTTCCGTTAGAATAGCTGATAATAGCATCCACTGTAGCGCCGGCATATAACTATGTGATAACATACCCCAACACCCTATTCTAGTGTTTACAAGCCCTTATGTCGGCTCGGCCCATGTTTGACCCACGCCAAGCCTATCTCAGGGGCCAATTATTCCTGGAGCGCCGGGACAGCAAGCGGCCCAGAAAGGGGGGAAGAGTTTGGGGGGGCTTGCGATTTGAGGCTTGTAGTGTAGGAACCTGATTAAGAAACCCTGGGCCTATATTATAACCCCCAACATAGTCGGATTCACATAAGGAACCCGACTAAAGGCCCAAGGTTTCTTAATCAGGTTCCTACATACATCACCCTGAAGCTAGAAGCCGGGAACATCGAAGGCCTAAGGCCCCGAGGCACTGTAGCTCGAACAGCGCTGAGCCCTGATGCTAAAGCCGCTAGCATGTCTATCGCAGCGTGCTCCTAAGACGGTTCCTGCGCATTTTGAAGCCGCCACAGCCACTCACACAATCCCGGTTTCGTTCTGAGTGATAGGAGGTAGAGCCGTCTTTCATCAGGATGTCCTTTAGGGTATCCAGTTCCTGGCACCAGAATATACTTCAGTTCATCATGATGTACCGTACTATACCATGTTATACTAGAACATACTAACACTACCATAAGATTACTCGAACACGATATACTATACTATATTCTGCTATAGGACCTTCAGAGAGAGCATCATTTCCAGGTTGGCGGTCAAAAAACCTTAGATAGCGCTTAATGGGGTTATGTCGCGTTTTACGTTTTAGGGGATTCTAAATCACATCCGGGTCTAGCAGTTTGTAAGCTGGGGCTTTTCTGGCCGTGGGCCTTTCTTCAGCTCCTGTCCTTCCTGGAGCCGAATCACCGAGTCCACATGAGAAAGCAATAAGTTGGGCTTCGAAGAACCGGTGGTACTCCCCTAATATTCCCTACGTGACTATACAAGAGCATGCGCCAAGTATAAAGGCGTTTAGATCGAACAGTTCCGTGCCAAGCTTGACCCTGAACCACCGCACCTGAATGGCTCCATAAAGTTCTTGGGTTTGTGCACTCGCAAGACAGAGATCCCCCCTTGAGCTGAATTACATCCGACACTTTTTCCAAGGGTTCCTTATCAGAGAGTTATTATGCCATGATTTGCCCGAAACGCTATTCTAGCTTTTCAAGATCCCTTTTCTAGGATCCTTAGCCTTTCTTCACCCCGGGCAGTCCATCCAAGCATTAAGCCAAGACCTTAAACCTACTAGAAGGGCTTAAATAATTACCCATACTATTTTGGGGTTCCTTATTTTAATTATAGTGAAGGGGCCCGAAAACCTATTCTAACTATTAAGGCCCCTATATTAGACCCCAAAGCTCGCACCGCAGAGACGAGACCGAAGTCCTAAACCCCCATAGGAGCTCTCATAGTGACCCGTTTTTGCAATTTTTTGTGGTAACCTTTATGGCAGCCCTAGACATGAAACCATGAAAGAAACACACCATAAACCCTAGACCATAAACCCTTCCTTTAAAGCTATTCTTGCTGTACTTGCAGTCGGAAAAACGGCCCATAAAAAGCAAAAAACACTTTCCTCTACGGCAGCCGTGTGAATCATATCCCCAAGGCCGAGGGAGATCTCGGTGCCTTCGGAAGTGGTCGGTGGACTGATAGGCAAGGGAGGGAAGGGGGGAATAGTTCGGGGATTGGGGTTCAGGGTTTTGGTGGTTTTAGTTGGGGGTTTAGGGCTTTTAAGGGAGGGAAGGGCGGAGGGGAACCAAAATGTTTTCGTTTTTGCTCCGGGTGCTTGTTTGAATTGGGTGTTCCGACAAGAAAAACACTCTTACCGGCAGGGAGGATAGTTAGGGGGGTTCAGGGTTTAGGGTTCAGGGTTTTGGTGGTTAGTTTTAGTTCGGGGTTTCAGGGTTTCAGGATTGAGGGTGAGGGTTCTTGTGGTTGAGGGTTGGTTTGGGACTTCCAGTCTTTTCACGAGGAATCAGGCTTCATGTATTTCGGGTTATTAAGAGGAGCATTTCACATTATGGGTCGAATAGGCTTTTGTTCTTCTAGACATGGTGGGGGGGGATTCGGCTAGGTTTTTTGGACTGAGGGTTGAGGATAGAGGGCCTTGAACGTTTTTTTGCTGTAAGATGTTTTACATGGGCTTTAGAGGGTAGCAGGCCCTGACTTTCTGAACATCACTTCTATTGGTGTTTCCGATTACCTAGTAGCAGACCTGCCAGTAGTAGTGTTTCACGTTGCCTGTGCTTGCTGCTGCTATGTGCAACTGCTTTGAGTGCATGTCACTGGCGACTTCATCTGAACGACGACGTGTGCCGCTCGAGCAGGAGGAAACTTGTTCACCCAGGGTAAAATAGCACCCCAAACGGTAGGATCCGTAGTATAAGGACACCAAAAAAGGTACCCCTAATTTTCGGAAACTCTAAACCCTAAACCCTTTATAGAACCTTTATAGGTCCCTTTAAAACTAAACCCTAAACCCTTTATAGAACCTTTATAGGTCCCTTTAAAAAAAAGGTACCCCTAATTTTCTAAACTGCTCCATGCGGAGGTTTCGAAGGCTGAGGGTTGCGCTCGAAAGGCCTCAAATGCACCGTCTCGTCCGAAAAAAAGGACCCCAAAGGCCCTAAACTCCTAAACTCTAAAGCTTAGGGTTTTTTAGGCTTTTGGGTTTAGGGTTTTAGGGTTTAGGGTTTTAGGGTTTAGGGTTTAGGGTTTTAGGGTTTGGGGTTTTAGGGTTTTAGGTTTTAGGGTTTTAGGGTTTGGGGTTTGGGGTTTAGGGTTTAGTTTAGAACTAGAAGAGACAAAAGAGCCCACCCCGGGCCTCGTCTACTCGTCCGCGCTTTTGCGGCTGCTTGATCAACACGTGTGCCTGCAAGTCGGAAACTGAAAGGCGAGGGATGACTTCAGGAACCTTCAAGCTTTACACTGGTTCCATTCTGTCTTTTGTCTATACAATCTTCCCTCTCCCGAAATGTGAGCTTGAGCTCTCCTTGGATGGTTTTCCACCACTGATCCGCTTTCAGCGGTTTGGTGAGGACATCTGCCAACTGCGCCCACGTGGGCACCCATACTATCTTACCGTAGTTCAGGATGTCCTCGCGAATGCCCGCCAAGTCGATGGCGAGCCTTTTGCAGCTTGGTACCCTAGGTACTCCGTCTCGCGTGAGGTGGTCGTACAAGCTGCGGCAGTCAGTGAGGAAGCGTACGTGGAATCTGGACCTCCTTCTTTCCAGTTTTCCAGTGAGCAAAGTCTCCAAGAAACGTCCGATGTAGTCTCCCGTCTCGGTAGCCGTACAACAAGCCATCGTCTCGGCCGCGAAGGTGGACCGACACACACGATCGCACGCCCCACTCCGCCAGTCCAGGATGCTTCCTCGGGCAGACTTGCCGTGAAGCACCCCTTTGTCTGCCAGCAAGTAGATGCCTCCGAGCTGGGACGTGATGGAGGAACTCGCTTTCTTGGCCTTGGCGTCCTTCCTGGCAAAAGGACCGTCGGTGATGAGGCCGGCCTCGTCCTCCTCTGCCGTCAGACTGTAGTAGGGGTCGTCTTGGCTTTGTGGCACGTTCGCCCAGCCGGCATCGTGGAAGCACAACAACACCGCATTGTCGAGGTCAACGGGGTAGAGCTCCAGGCCATTCTCGTGGTGCTCGAGGGCCCTCCGAGCCATCTGATTGGTGAATCGAATGTCACCCACAGTCGGCTCCTTCTGTCGTTGTTGACTCATCGAAACTCCCACTTGTAGGTCTGGTCGGGTCTGGCTTGCCATCCACGACAACGCACCAATCAAGGACATGTTGTCGTGCTTTTGGGTCTCTGTAGCCTCGAAGTGGTCGGGGACGTCCTTCTCCACCTCGATCTCGAAAAGCCGGGTCATCGCGTAGCTGGCCTGGCTAATCTTCACCTTGTCCTTCTGAATGTCGATGAGAGACCCCACATAGTCGAAGCTGTCGGCCTCCCAGTCACGAATGGGAAAACGCTCGCTGATGGCCTTCTTCAGAACTTCGCAGAGAGCCCGCTTTCCGACCAACAGTACATCATCCACATGTACGCCGAGGTAAGCTTCCGGCGTGCCCAAGATTTCATCGTCCTGGCCCTCGTTGGCGACGATCTCTTGCACCATGAAGATGCAGTGGTCCAGGCTGCTCTGCACCAGCCTGTACCTCTTGCCATCGCAATCCACCACGAGGGACTTCATCGTCCCTTTGAACTTTGTCCACCAGGCAGCTGGCGAATCCACTAAGCCAAAGATTGGCTTCTTGATCTTCAGGAGTTGCTCGGGATGCAAGCTTCCGAGTCCAGTCCTTGGCTGTCTCAGATACAGTTCTCTCTCGAGCTCGCCGCCGCATAGGAAAGCGGCTGTGACATCTCCGGCGTAGCCTCCCCAGTCGTTGGAGAGGTTGGACGCGAGGATCTGAAGCAGGAGCAGAATGCCCTGTCGGGAGATCGTAGGTGCGTGCGTGCTCAGGCCATCCATGAGGTCTGGGTCGCGGTGTCCCGCGATCACAAGTCTGGCCTTTGCCTTCCATCCCAAAGTGGGGTCTTGTCGTCGTCGGCTCCAGAGTTTGTCGCGGTAGGCAAAGCGACTTCCCAACACGCGGTCACCCTTCTCACGGATGATCTTCCGGCTCTCCTCAATACTCAAGGGTTCCAGGGCCTGGTGCTCGACGTGCTCCTCCCACTGCTTATTCTCCGCTTGTTTGAAAGCCTCATGCTGTTCGGGAGGTATCATACTCCACGGCAACTCTTTCTCTAAGGCTTTCTCGCGTCCCCTCTGCGTTTTGGGAAGTTTCATCATGAAGGCCTGGTGCTGTGGAGCCTCGTCGGCGCCGGCGGGAGGACCTTTGGTCCTATGTCTCTTTGTCACCGGTGCCGGAGCGCTTCCTTCAGGGGGACGCCGTACTGGTTCACCACGGGGTTCTTGATCGGGAGAATCGGGTCCTTCAGGAAGCAAGACGTGGTCCTCGGTGAGCTCCATGTCTTTGCCCTCGTACATGTCCTCATCGGCGAAGTCCTGCTCAAGCAACTTCTGTAGGTCCTCCTGTGTGGCGCGCATCGCAAAGGCCGCGCCCAGTTCTTCTCCACTCGCAAGTCGTAGATGCTCCGGAGCCACCAAGTGGCACCTCCCCGAGAAGGACACCCAAGCATTGGGTCCTTCTTTCCCAATCACAACTCCGGGACCGTGCCACTCCCAGTTCTTGTTGTTCTTGGGCTTGCGGTAAAAGAAAACATGAGCCCCTTGTTGAAGATCTGGACCTGCAACCCGAGATCGCTGAAGCAGGGAACGTCGCAAGCGGGCGTCGTTCTGGACCCGAAAATAGGCCTCCTTCGCCGAGATCCTCAAAGAATGTTCTCTGGCACGTTGTCGGTCATGGCTGATGATGTGCTCGACGTGCTCGTCCTGGGGCGTCCCTTTGAGCTCTTCCGGCAGCTTGGGGTCTCTTCCCCATACAGCCTGTGACGGGCTGAATCCGGCATCCCTGCGGAGGGTGTTCATGGCGGTGTTTGCCGCCGTGATGATCATCCCGGCCTCTTCGGAGGAAGCCGACCACTCATCGACGAGTCTCCCCCAAATCTCCTTCCAGGTGCGGATCGCTCTCTCCGCCGTGCCGTTCTGCCAGTGCGCCTGACCAGCGACGGGGCGGATTTTGGTGCCATGCCACTCACTGAAACGTCCCAAGCCGGCTTGTAGTCCACTCTCCAAGTCCACGACCATCGTTCCTGGAGCCCCGAAAGTGTTGCTCCAAATCGAACAGAAGCTGCTTTCCATGGTGATCCCTGAGTGGCCCTGAAGCAGGCCTGCCGACACAAAACCCGTTCCGACGTCCACCACGATCATTAGCTCAACCTTCTCTCCGTCGCAGTCGTACACGTAGAATGCATCGACGGCTACCAACTGGTTGAACTCCAGTAGGTTCGGAAGTGTGGCGGGTTTCGCACTCGCTCCTCTCGGGTTCCGATGGCATACCTGACATCGAAGCCTTTTGCAGGCTTCCACAACGGTAGCGTCCGCGCCAGCCAAACGTAGGTGCCGAGCCAGATCAAGGTTCGACGGGTGCCCCATGTTCTGATGCAACCGTTTCAAAGACGACTTCACCTCCGGAGCTATCATCTTTCCTTCGTCGAAATGAATGGCCTCGGCACCGCGGGGTTCTGCAGAAAGAGGTTCTCTCGGTCCACCTGGTTGTTCTTGATCTACCACGAGCACCGCCTCGAGACCGGGGGGCTCTGCAGACAGAGGTTCTCTAGGTCCTGGGTCCTCCTCGTAGTGGTCGCTCTCCAAGTCGTGCCCACGTAGGTCTGGGTGGCAAACGTAGTTGGTGAACTCCGGTACATCGCGGTGTTCATCTTCGAGAGAGAGGGGCGGACTGAGATCGTTGAACCGGAGTACTCCACTCTCTCCGGGTCGCCTTCCATAGCGACCTGCGTGCTTCTCGAGAAGTTCGCGGAGAGGTGGGGAGTCCCAAAAAGGGTGTCCATCAGCTGCCTCGAAAGCCAGCTTCCTCCCTTGGTTGACCTGCTTGTGGAATGTAGGAACCAATCCACTCAGGAATTCCAGTGGTTGCTCTCCATGTACCCAAAGCATCGACGGAGCAAAGCCATTGAAGGTCCGGTCGACGTAGCTGATGTTCTCCTCCAGGGGCACGGCGAG